CTCATAATGCAATAACTATACTCAGCCCCATGCACACCCAAGAAGCCACACCCAGAGCTCGTTCGAACGGCCACTCGGTCGCCTGCCGAAGACCACAACTGCCCTGGATGTAATGGACCATCATGATTCCTGCCTTCCGGAACGTAGCTTTCAACACTTCAAGCCGTCCGTATCTAGGCCGTGGGTCGAACCAGCCCTCGGTCGAACGGCCACTAGTCGAAGCACGATAAATTTTGGAACAGAACTATGCTATCTGAAACCTAACCTCAGATGCGGTGCACGTAAAATTACGTAATTTAACGATGCCCGGAAGTCAGATTCGATCCGCGGCCTGGTGGTGCACGGCAGGTGGTGGTCAAGGCCGGAGGAGGACAAAGCCGAGTGGTGCACGGCTGATTGGTGGATGTCCGGGGATATCAAAGGCGTTCGATTCAGGGCTTATTGGTGCACAAAATTGGTGGTGCACGGCTGCGCTCCCCGGCCACTCCTCGAAGGACGATAAATTTTGGAACGGAACTATGCTATCTGAAACCTAATCTCAGATTCGTTGAACGTAAAATTACGTAATTTAACGATGCCCGGAAGTCATATCCCATCCGCGGTCTGGGGGTACACTGCAGGTTTTATGCATGGTTGAACTTTATAAGGTTGAACCACGAGAAGTTCCGTCTTTCTGTTCAGCTTTCTTGTTACGTCACGTAGATCGAGGAACGTAAACAAACCCGCCATTCCCATGACGGATTGGTTGACTGGTTTGATTGCATTTCGGCGATTGGTTAATGCCCGTGACGTCACAGAGATCAGTGACGTCACATGCGAAAAACGAACTTCATCCGCAAAAATGGGCTTCTGATGGGTCAACCTTATACTAGTTCAACCATGGTTTTTTTATGCAAGGCAAGACGAGGACAAAGCCGAGTGGTCGCAGGTTGTTGCCCGCAAAGTTCCAGTTCGAGCGGTGGCCAATGAAGCGATGCTTCGACGCAACGTTCAGCGGTGGACGGCCATTCGACTCCAGGCTATTCGACCTCGTCCTCGTGTCTGGGGGGTATAGAGCTCAAAATATTCAAAGCAGAATGATGTGAAGCGTCGGTTACGGATAGCAGGTTCCATTCACGGCTGATTGGTGGATGTCCGAAGAGATCCAAGGCGTTCGATTCAGGGCTTATTGGTGCACAAAATTGGTGGTGCAGGACTGCTCTCCCAAACAGATCACAAATAACACGGAGTTGGCAAAATGGAGATCGCTTCGAACCCTCGTTAGTACCCGACGCGCCCAACAATCCAGGTTGACATTACAAATAAACTAAGGCAAAAGTGTATAGATATGTAAATAATAAGGTTATTTTCTAGTGGACTCAATATTTCATCTTACTTGAACACGTTCCAAACTCGCACCCGCTCTAAAATATACGTCGTCAACCTGTGTTTTCAATCGGAAATAAAAAGGCCGGTAATGGAAAAACGAGTGAAGCAGTTAGATGAGCAGACTCTGATACCATTATTTATTTGTGCATGCAGCAGACTTCTGGAATAATCGCTAATTAGGCATTCAAACCCCAAAGGCCAATTGGCGGTCACAGTTAGGAGGCAACGCCCAAAAACTTGTTTGAAGTCCTGCTTCTGACATAAGTAGATATGAGCAAACATGCACTGTTAATGAAAATAAACATGAGGAAGAATTTGAATAATCGCTCTAACCAAAGTAGAACTTAAGAATAAGAAGAGATGGCCGAAGCCATTGTTTAATCGTGGTCTTCAAGAAGTCTGATGACAACCTAATCATTCAATGACTCAAACCAATCAATGAGTGAGGAACAAAAATTATCGCAATTTAAGCGATTTAAGCATTAAGAAAATCTTTAACATGCCACGGACATCACTATCTTTGCGCCTGCCATCGCTTTGTACGTGAAAGCGATAAATTGGGACAGGATGCAGCGTCTCTTGCGCTAATGATGCTAATTAGAAAATTAATGGGTGCACGATATTGCGTCCGTCTCCATGCCTGTGCCTTGCTTAATTATTGGTATAATCAGCAAAGTGAGTGAGCGCAGGACTTTGTTCATCCAAGTTCTCTCAATGTGTTACTTTGAGTATACTTTTGCTTGTATGTGACTGATAGCCGTCTTTGCTCCTAGTCAAATACTATTCTTATCTAAATACGAATGTTAAACTTTTTCCTTTCACCTTATTTCTAGCATACCAGTTTATTCATTACAAATATAATGTCCTTAGTTCAACAATTAAATCATAACACATTACGTTGTTCATCAAGCAAAATTCACTCCCGATACGCGCTGTCTGCCCCACATTCATGATAGCACTGAAAACCAACCTACCAGTGTGTGCAAGCACAACAGGCGACTAGTGTCTGCAAGTGTACCAGACAACGAGTGTCTGGTACACTTGAATGATAGTGTTTTACCTCTGTATCTTGGTAATGTCAACTTGTTGGGTTGTCGGCAAGCGCCATATTTGTCGCTAGCATGCAACTTAGCTCCTCTATTCGGACTATTCCCTCTCATGCAGCGTAGTAGATGCAGCGGTGGCGCCGCCTCCCGGATGGAAGCCGCGATACCCTATCGCGTGCACCGCCACTGCCCTCAGGCTCCGTGTGTGGGTTTCGTCCGAAGTTCTGCAGTAACGCGACTTTACAAGGCCTTGTAGTGTCGTGATCTGTGCTCTGCTTCAGTAAAGTGCAGCTGCAGCACATGTTTGGGACTGATTTACTATTCATGTTTTTTATTTAAACTATCGTGTGTTACAGAAACCTACGTACGATAAGACAGTTGTAAATGTTGTCTATTTACTTTTCTTGACATGTATACGGTTGAATCAAATTGTAATTTGGATGTGGAAACGTATTAAAGGACATGCAAATTATCGAGCTGCTGCTTCTAGGTTTAGGTTTACTGCGTGATGTGTGACTTGAACTACAGTAACTCAGAAGGCTATTTATCAAAGGCTGTCAAAGTTAGTCAAAGATTCAGGTGCGACAAGAAAACGATTCCATGATATAGTTGCCGAGCAGTTATAGAAAAAGGTTACTATTGAGCGTATATTGTTCAAAAGGGATTTAGACCTTTCGTGATCTAATCCCAACATTGATACTCATATCGTACATTTCACTCCGGCAGGCTTCCACATCAAACAGCTTCCATGCAAGGACATACATATGAATATTATTTTGGGGACGTGGCGCGCAAAATAACGAACAATAATTGCTAGAAAGTTTTCGCTGTAATTTCCAATAGGAAAGGAATGACCTCATTATAGAGACAATAATTAATACAGTAATGATGTGAAGAAGTGATGGGGTTTTTCGCATATTGAGTATATATCATGGGGTTCAATCTAAGGATTATTGAGGCAAACTACCCAGTATTTTTTCCCATGTCAATGCAGGAAATTTTTCTCGTTTCCATTGGTGTATGATATAATTTCTATGCAGCTAGTGCCTATTCGTTAGTTTTAATCGATTTATTCGGATTTAATACCGGGAATTTCCAAATTTCGAAGCAATTTGTTTGTTTTAACAAAATAATGGTTACGTTGTAACTGAGGATTGAACTGAGAGAGCACGATAATTTTTGAGGCTTGCCCTGGTAAGCGCCTTCCTGAAGAATATCACCAAAATAAAGCTGCTTTGCATCCACCATAGCAAATAAAGTTCATCTGCTATCAACTATTCTCACATGCAGCCGATGAATTCATATTTCTGATGACGTCCCGTTGCCGCCTCAACAGACAGGCGGCCAGACTAGAGCCACATAGCCAGATAATTTCATCTTTCCTATTCTTATTTGTACAGCTGTTCATCAACCACATATCATATTCATCAACCACTTCTTTAATAAATGTTGCTACTGGCTAACTCTGCCCAAGGTCCCACATTCTCTTCCATGGAGCCCATTATAAGCTCCACATCTCGACTCTTCCAGTTTACACGTGGCTATAGCCAGCTGGCCGAGTTTGAGAAACAGCTGGAAAATTCACCTACTTCTATTTTTAAGTGGCAGGAATATGGCTTTTGCTGATATGGTCGCTTATTTTCAATGCATGTGGATATAACTATTACGAGATTTATTATAGGAGTTGGGTATGGATACCTATTCGTCGTATACGGAAGATGCTCTAATAACGAATGATTTTCATCCAGTTTCCTATAACGGATTGTAGTTATTTAATGCACTACTGTAAATGACTGCTAATTGTGTGTAGACAAATTTTTAACATAGACAACCAATTTTTCTTTGTTTTATATCATTCAATTGTATGCATTTTTCCTTAGTAACTAAGATTAAAGCTCTAATCACTCAGGTAATCTTCGAATTTTCAATCTATTAATGCAAACCATCCGAATGTTTCTCCTATTTTTTATTTAATTAACTTACATAGATAACTTCTTTTAGAGATACCTATCCAGTCAACTTAATCATAAGTGAAAAGTTATCATTGGTAAATAATAAAATTTCGATCGAAAAGTGGCTCTCCATTCTCTTTATAAAATTTTCTCGCGGACCTATCTATAAATTTTACCTTCACAGACTTGTAATAATAAAGGTTCAGCCAATAAAAGAGAGTCAAATATAGATCAAAATCCATTTACTACGAATGAATGGTAGATAACCCCGTATACATTATTCATTTTCCTTATCAAATTTTAAAGCAAGTTTAAATGACATCGATTGTCTAAGACTGTTGTATCTCGAGACATTTTAAATTAGCTTGTATCATATAAATAACTAATCATTGGTTTCGCTTTCAGAATATCCGTTCAAGTGCTTCTGATTTTCTTCTTATATCTTCGCTACTGTCAATCTGAGAGTCAAATTTTAGCACATTTTGTAAAGTACATTATGGCTTAATATTCACTATAAATATTAAATTTAAACAATAATCCTGATCCAAAATCATTTATTGAATTTGAAATCCCACTGACCAGTACAAAATATTGAACAATATATACGGGTAAATACTTATTGTCAACCGAGTGAGGGATGTTCTCGATAAACTTGGAAAGCGTGAACAATATTCTGGATTCAAAATTGATATATACATAATTATTATACTATATCCATATATATATAATTTCCAAAACTTGAATATGAAAATTTCGACAATTCTTGAAATAATTTTTCCTATCATGCAAATTTTTGCATGGGGATTCTTCGTATCTGGAAGTTTCGGTAAGATTATTTGAGGATAAGATTATCTGAGTAATATAAAACATAACACATCTACAAATGAATTGAATCATCAGTGCCATCACTCGGGCAGCACGTGGGTAGTTTCAGCATATGTTCTCTCCATTTGTATTGTAAGTAGTCTTGGTTGAAATAAAGTGTCGTGGCGTGAACCATGGTTAGTAAGTTCAACCATGGCTTGAACATTCGGTGCAAGCCATTGATTGTATTTCTCATTATTTTTGTAGCATTCGAGTTTGTTCACAGATTTTAGCCTAAATATACTTAGCAGCTTGTCTCTTCTAGCTCCTATGTTTCTAACAAATCCAATTAAAAGCAGTAGTTCTAAATTACCATTCATTTAGGCTATTTTGTCTATCCACACGAAATAATTGAGTCACCTATAGCCGCTGAGGAATATGCTGGTTTTAGACGAAGACAAATTGTTCAAGTCAAGAAGAAACCTCCAATCATTAAAAAAAAAACAATTATTTCGAACTCAAACGATAATCCACCCCCCATGTAGGAATTCCTACAATTCTTAAAGTCTCTATGAGAACAGATGGTAGCTAGGTAACGGTTTCAATCATTATAGCTTATTTGCCTTAGTGCGAACATTATTGAAAATATTTGTCAGAGTTGATTCGTGTGTTTGAAGTCTGGCGCCGCGAACATAGATGGACTGTTGGGGTGCGTATCTACAATGCTTATTGCGCCGGGATATAACCTGGACCTGAAAATTTATTCTTTGTGGAAGAATAACGCATTGCAGTACAGTAAGAAATGGATTGGCACAAAAATCTAATTTTATTTTTGAAATTGGTATTTATACATATACCTTGAAAGCTTAAATAATTAATTTTTGTATTATTGCAGGTCATGGACCCGTGCTCGTAAGATCAGAAGGAGCGGGAGTCGAAGCTGGAATGAGCTTGGCCAGCTTGCAGCAGAGCGCCTCTAGAGTGCAACGCAGCGACCCAGAGCAGCGTCTTGAGCGCCAGAAACTTCGCGAGGCTCGCAGAGAAGAGAGAGAACGCAGCAGGAGGTGAGTTTTCTCTCATGTATGGTCAGCTGAAATGCTCTAAATAGCCCTTCTATCTATTTTATTTGACAGCCTAAAGTATTTGCATTTGAATTATAATTAGAGAGATAATGTGCGGAACAATGAATCAGTCCAAATCGAACTGTTCCCTCAAACGTGCGTGACCACTGAACTGATTTAAACTGTTATTTTCATTCTTGACGAGCCAATTTAAAATACGAGGATACCTAAGGCGGATCAAAAAAATATCTTCTTATGATATAAAGTTCTAGAAGTTAAAAGTTAAATTTTGTGCCCCCATCGCTCGAATAATAAAAACGAGAAGTGAACTAAAGTTGATTAATAATGTAATATCATTTGATTCACATACTGGGAGAGAGAAACAAACCGGAAAGTTTTAAATGCCCAAGTGGCTAAAGTGAGCCTGTTTTGCACAACAAAATTGCGGCTGTTTATCAAAACTTGGTGGCTGCCCTGAATTAGCATAAATTCATTCAATGTGGGAACATTAAATGTATACCTGACTATTGAAATGCCAGACTGCATTTAATAGATTTTCAGCTAGCAGCGTGATGGGAAGGCTCCTCGAATTCCATTCTTCGCAATAAATAACGAACCCGACATTTATAGCTAAAAAATTCTCGAGATGAAGACACCAAGGTAAGAGTTTATAACGAGACCTCTGAAATATTGCAATGGTGAAGGAACCATGTTTACGCTGCATAAACCATGTTTACTGGGCATAAATGGAAATAAAAACTTGGTTAATCTCAGTACCCATCTCGTATACCCTCAAACTGTACTCATTAATTATATACCAAAATAAGTTGGTCAGAAAAACAAGCAACTCTACCTAATGCTCATCGAAAGCCGTTCTCAGTGTATAGTTTATAGTATACAACAAGCGCTTTAAAAGGGGCAGATTTATGATACACAGACAGTCGTATTTTCCGATGTGGGTTACCCTCAGGAAAATGAATCTTATTGTCCAAATAGTGACACTTTCTTACACAGTGCACGACAAGAGAACGGACGTAGCACTGATACTCTCTCTTTTGCTAGGCCAAAAAATGGGTCTGGATTACCTACTTACAGACAGAAAAAATGCATTGCTATTTGGATAATGTATCGCTAATTTCTCTCATGGTTAAACTAAATTCGAACTGTTCCAAACTCTCTTCCAGGCAAAGACTTGAGCGTCGCCAGCACAGGCACCAGCAAGCGTCTACGGATCGTCCAGCGGTGGACAATAAGGTGAGAGCATCACTAATGTGACATTAAAATATCAGGGACAAGCCACCAGCTTGATTACAACATTTCATATATAGGGATACAGCAATTAGGAGGGATTGCTAGGAGCACTCAGGCAGCACATCGGTCGTACACAATAGTTTATGTTGGTGAGAGATTAGTCGCACACAACCTCTATAATGCAGTGTGTTTCACAGAAACTTCCTGTTTTGTATTTGCGCCAAGCAGCCAGATGTTGTAGGTAAAGGGCGCAGGGTATTTCATATGAAAGGTAAGGTCATGAAATTTTGTGTCCTGTCTAATCAGTTGCCACTATGCATTGGATAAGTGAGCATTGCGCATTTGCTGTCGAGGCGCACTTTTCTAATGGCCGTTTTTCAGAGTTGTAGCCGTCTGAGATGTAACATTTTGCAGAGCACTCTTCTCCTTGAGAGGTGACCTTCTTTGGCCGGTCCTATCTCCCTATTTAGCTCCTTGTGATTTTTCTAGGGTTATCTCAAAGGGGAGCTTATCGCTAGGGTTATCTCACAAAGATTGTCCAAGGACCTTATCGCATTTGAAAAAAAAACAACATACTCCAAGCCATCGGTAACCCACCCGTCAATAAGCTTCAGTGAGTTGTCCGGAACTTCAAAAATCGACTAACTGACTGCATTGACGATGGGGTCGTCATTTGTCCACTGCCATATTTAAAACTAAGTGATACAGAAATTCAGGTGATGTCTTTTTTCCAATAAAACTATATTGTAACGATATCTTTACTGTTTCTTTTAATTATTGAGCTTTCAAATTAGAGAGTTTCCGTGAATCACCCCTGTAAATTCTAAACCATATCCAGATGGGCATGAAGCTGATAATGTACGAAAAATTAATCAAAATAGGAAGAATGCATATGAGGTCCTCCATTTAATTTTAGAATTTTTTTCACAGTGAATCAGATGGAATGCGACTATGGTATCATGATACCGAGGTAGGTTTAAAAAATTCTTGGTACTTCAGAAAGTAATTCCTCATGTTTCCACTTGTCATGTTTCCGCGCCTCACCATTGAAGAATAATTGTTTGTGAATCACTGATTCAGAATGAACATCTTAGTTAATTCTAGATCAGTTTAATCACGTTGCTTGATGACGAATTATTTCACAGCGTCACTCTAGGGCAGACGACATTCAGTGGATGAAGGCCAACTTGTCGTCGTTGTGGGCTACGGTGAGGGAGCTGCAGAACAACCAGGCACACCTCCTGCGCAGCTCTGCTGGTCACGAGCCGGTGAGACTCTAGTCCTAGTGTATAGGGTAACCAAGTATTATATAGCGGTTTCAGCGTTTATTAGGCCGTACGCCTGTCGCCGATTCTTAACATCGCAGAACATTCACAGCATTTTGCGGTCACTGCTCCAATTCTGCTTTGCTTAACCGCCCGGCCTCCTCGCCGATTCTGACCAGAAACTGGCGCACAGAGCTGGAATCGAACCCGCACCTCTCTGCGCCAATCTTGGTACTCTGAACTTTAACCACTGGGCCACCCTGCCCGTGTGAATGCCGACTCGTTTCATGTACAGCCTAAGTTCGAAATTTATTTATTAGTTTCATCTACAATTGGCATATTCCCTATGGTCTCTTTCAAGTTCGTCTTGCGTGATAAATCGGGTCAACTCTTGTTTTTACAAAATTTTACATCCTACAGTATCAATAAAAAATCCACACATATATGTACCTATATCTGCAGAATTCTACCGTGCAAAATTTTCTTCATTGCCATGAAATTGTGGGTATTTTTTTATACATGCACATAGATGCTGTCGTTGCGACGGATATAAATAGAAAACGAATCGGAAACAAAATGATATAATTCTTATTTGCCACAGTTAAATTAAGGCATAAGGATGGTGAAATAATTGCGACTGCCGCTTCCTCACGCGATTTTCCGATATTAATAGATATTCGAATTATTGGATAAAATTAATACATATTTGCACTAAAATAGTTTTAAATGCATTTAGCGTAAATTATCTCTATCTAACATCAAGTCTTGAAAAAAAGATATGTCATTCAAAACGCGGTTGAAACTCATATGGAATTGTTTTGAGACCTAAATATTATTGGTTCCATTTTCATCCACCAGCCATTGCCCCCGATGCAATTTAGTATATTTTAGAACTAACGTGTCCGCTTATTTCCTAGTTCAGTGCATGCGTATATCAGCACTGATTTAGAAAAGAGTTGCAATACATTTATTTATGTTACATATGACAGTGTACAAGGTTTGCAATATACGTTCTAAAACTACTTGTATTCGATATTCAAGTTTGATGTGGGGATCTTCGAGCATGCAGGGTAAAAATAAATGTAATATAGTTCTTTTTGCCTAAACGTGGGAGAAGTGTGTTGCGGCGCAAACGTTTGGTTATATAGGCTGGATAAAATAGTCACATCTGCATCATTCAAAGTAAGAATTTCTAAGAAAATAGATCAAAATTCAAGGTACCAAGATCGACGCACGTTGCTTCAAAGTTGAGATACGGTTGTTTTACGTCTCTTCTAGTGCTGATCACATTTCGACGTTGATTTTAGATTAAATTTTGATTGGGAACATTTCAACGTGAAAGCAACCAGTAATCAATATATTGTTTCAACGTCAAATGCCTAATGGGATTGGATTTGGCAGACGTCTAATTCTTGCTACAAGATTCGAACGGTACAATAGATCATTTTCCTGATATGTATTTCCATGTTGATGACTGATCATATTTTGTAATAATAGGAATGTAACACCCCAATAATTAGTGAAGCGAATTCGCTATCAGGTCTTCTATTTAAATAATACGGCAGGCTAACCGACTCAATAAACAATTCCAACTTTTATTTAAGATTGAGCGAATATAGACGACAATGAGAGCTAGATTAAATATTTTTATTTCTGTGAGAAATAGACATAGATAAAAATAAGTAAATTTAGTAGTAAAAAATCATTTAAATTACTACATCGCTAAAAAAACTATTTGAAACTGCATTGAATAGAAAAAAATGATTTTGTTACCGGAAGCTACTAGAAAAATATAATTGACCTAAAAAATTGCCCGCGTTTTATTGTGAGCCACTCGATTACAATTAGATTCAATTGCTCTAATATATATGGATTATTAAAATATCATTTGACGGTCATGTATGAGTTGACGACGTGTGTGGAATATGCTGGCCCCTACACACCCTCATGTGAGAGAACACGGATTAATTCCGTAGCCTGGATACTACGAAAATAAGCGGTCAAAGGTTGCAGTTCTATATGGAATAGATCCTTAAACGCGATTTAAATACGAATGTCTAAACAATATTATCTTTAAAAATGTGCAGCATAATTCTAATATTCAGTAAAACTCAGTTTCTTACAAGTCGAAAGAGTTCACATCCTTCCAATTTACGACACTTACCGTTCTGAAACGTGCCACATGTTCTTGTAATTTGTCGTCAGATTGTAACTAACAGCCTAAGTGCTACTGGGATGCCCGGTGTGGCATCGCCTTGCTCCCCCGAGCTGTCGGCAGAAGATTGCCCTGACGACGACGAGTTGCAGTGCAGGCTTGGCGGCGACGAGCTGACGTGCTCGGGACGAGGCGAGTGTTGCTGCGGCCAGTGCTTGTGTCAGCTGCCATACTTTGGAACTTTCTGCGAGTGTAACAGCGATCTGTGCCCCATGTTAGTTCCCTTGACGTATGGATTGTAAGGAAATGTCCACGTAATTGGTCATTCATGTTAATGCAGTATATGGCAAAGAACTTTGTTAAAATAAATAACTTTAATGAGTTTAACAACTTTAATAAAATTTTAGTACCTAGAAAATTTAATGTCTAGATAAGTCGAAAATTACGTGGATCATATGGATACGTAGAACTAATTTTTTAGAACGAACTTTTTCTAACGAGGTCACCCTTACTCTTTCTCAGAGGTCGAACTGGTAGTACCTCACAGTTGTTTAACAAATCAGCTTAATTGTTTGAAACAGTTGCGTTTGACAGTTTCTGGTGTCGTGATACAAGTTCTGAGAACACACAGGCACGACGGCGTCGTGTGCAGCGGGTCAGGGTCGTGCTCGTGCAGCTCCTGTGAGTGCGACGCAGGTTTCACGGGCCCCGCGTGCGAGTGTCCCTCCCACGACGGCCGGTGCCGGGACCAAGATGGCGGTCTGTGCAACAACCATGGCACCTGTCACTGTGGTAGATGCGAATGCTTTAGCAGGTTAGGCTGCACTTAGATCGTGCGTAAATAAGAGCGATTGTGACTTTTCAACGTGAACAATTCCTGATTCAATTTCGGATCGGTAATTCCCACAAGATCGCAGCTGTTAGTGGAGATGGCTTTTAGAAAAACTGTATGACAGAGCAGGATTTCTTCGTGTCGTCGAGGAATCTATTCAGTTGTATAGTTTACAGTCGTAGGATTTTGGCCACATTCTAGAAACAATGAATGAACATCGTCAATTTTTGTATCCTATTTCATTTATAATTCTTAGTTGAAACTCCACCTGTATAAGATAATGGCTAGCGTGTAGTACGCCATAATTCATCAGCAAAATTTTAAAAATTCTGCAAGAATTCCCCTTGGCATTGGCAGTAGAATTTTAGGATTATAGTGACGTCAAATAAACATTGCCCGTCTCTTATCTGTATAAATAATTTTCTGCATGCGAACTCTTTCTATGATTGATATGTTCTTTGTAGCTTCCATATTTTAGCAGCTATTGATTCATAGGGTTATTTTTACATGAAAAACTAGTCCTATTTTAAAACTAATTATTCATGTTCTTCCGCTGCTGTCACATTTGCTTTATTTTCAGAATAAACGTCATTCTGGCTTCCCCTAAAGTCGAAACTCTCTTTTCAGTTACTTGGGTGAGCTGTGCGAGCAGTCGCTGTACTCGGCAGGGCTGTGCGAGGAGCTGAAGCCGTGCGTGCTGTGCAGCGCCCTGGGCCGCCCTCTGCCGCAGTGCAGGACCTGTGACCTCATCACCGTCGAGCTCACCACCGAACTCCGTGAGACATCGTCCAGGGTCGCCATGCACATCTTAACTTTATGAAGTGTTATGTCTATTTAATCCTCGTCAGACTCCATAATATTGAATTGTAATCGCAACGAGTGTAGGTACAGATGTAACTATACAGTCCGACAAGGGTGAAATATATTGGCTGAAATTTGGTCGAATACAAATACCAAATGCGTAAAGCAATGCTGAATGAAAAAAAAATTCTTGAGTTGGAGTTGAATAAGCTCGTAATTAGATGGTACGAGTTGGCCACTATGGAATATCACGAGTAACCGTGTGCGCGGTGTCTGGGCAGAGCCGTCGCAGAAGCTGTGCCGCATGGTACACTCGGGGTGCCTGCTGCGCTATTCCTACGAAGCTGCTGAGGAGGGCCAGTTCCTCGTAGCCGTCCCTGCCAGCGTCGTGAGTAACGTTCTTGGTGTTTATTGCAATAAATAAAACTGCTTACAGTTTATAAGAGCTAAACGGGTATTCCCAGCAGCTCGTGGTCGGAGGTACATTGATAATACAGAAAATATATAGTAATGAGAGGGTGGTTACATAGCTTCAATTTTTATTAAATGAAGCGCGTTTGTAAAATACAGAAAATACTTGTTTGCGTGAACAACAATAAAACAATTAACTTACATCATTGTAAGTAGTTCGGCGACAATCGTCAGAAATGCAGATACCACGTGTAAAAATATAAACATTCGATGCCATACCTAAAGCAGTATATAAAATTCAAATACATGATTTTTGTGTTATTTGATTCTTATCCATTTCCGCTATTTACAATTCTTTATCCATTGGCCTAAATTCCAGAAAAAGTATTCTAATACTATGTTATTATAATTTTCATTTTTCATCTCTGTGGGCGGAATATGTTCCATTATACTACCTATTATGTCTTGAACTTTACGCTTGTTATGAAGGTTCAAACTTTTAAATCTGCTAGTCAAATCAGTGTTTTCTAACTCATCTTATTAATAACGTTTCCCAGTCTTGCTAAAGATATAATTTCTTTCCAGATTGAAGACTTCAGGAACTGTGACGAACAAAACAGAAACAGAGTTTCTGTTTCGCGACGAAATTGAACTCTTTAGTAATAGAAAAGTGTCTGTTATTCTGTTCAGTCACTACACGGCACTCGACACCGATAACGACGCTCAGAACTCGGACGTAAATGATGACTGCAGAGCTTAGGAAGATCTCGTCTGCATCAATTCAGTTATCTTCAGATCCTTCTAAATTTGACATTTAGGTAACATCTCTATTTTAACCAAATATACTATGTCCAAATTTCACCTATATATCGTATAGCATTGCCCACAACTCAGTTCAAGTAAGTTAGACGGTTTGTATCAGTTCGGTATAGTGAGAATTGGAAACTAAGATTAAATGCGTTGGGTTCGAATTTCATGTTAATTACATTTTTTAACAGTCGGTAAATTTATTTGAAGCCTGGGACTAGCGCTGGATTTGTGGAGTTTGTTCGGTCGAATATCCACGATATTCATCGCATAGGAGTATTATACGAGAATACAATTCTATTTCACATGATGGAATCAAGAGACTCTGAAACCTGGAGTTTATGTTAGATAAAAAAAAATCGATAGGTCTGCGGGTGTGAATTTAAAATTAACGGGATTTATGATGTCTGGGAGACGAAATTCGGGATGGCGTGTATCAGAATGTTAGGATACGGGATTCGGAATTCTCAACTCAATGGATTATCTATCTCGGCACTGCTCGGTTAGGTTAACTTTGTATAAATGAGGTAGTCTAAAAATACGTAACTACTTCCTACTGTGTTACGTTTTTAACCCAACATATTTAGTCTCGGTACTCGATCCCCTTGCAGCATTCCATTTAAATTCGGAGTGTCTGCAAGATGAATAAATTTGCTAAAATTATTAGGAGGTAAATACCATTCCTACAGACCAAATTGTAATTATGAAAATTGATGTTTGCATCGACACTACGTACAGGAAACGCAAGTAAGCAATACTATACATAAAACCCTATGAATAAACCCTGCATGCATACAGGAGCAATTCACGCCTGCAGTTTGATACTATATGAGCCATGCACAACGCACAGGCTGTAACTCTCTACTAAGATCATACGTTCGTGGTAACAATAAAAGTCCTTCAATTCCAGCGTTTCTCGATTTAATGGCATAGTTAATTATAGATAGAAATACGGTACTGTCATGTATATAATGGAAGTTCCGTTCTGTGTTTCTTCGAGTTTCTTGTGTGAGCATCAAACTCTTAGTTGTATAATGCAAGGAGAACCTCTTCGTTCCAATAAGAATTAGGAGTAACTTCACACATCATAATAATCGACGTGACCTCCTGAAGTGAACGCGCCGCTCTCCAACAGACTGATCATTTTGTCGACCGTTTGACTGGCCGTCAAGGTTTCGCCGGCATTGAACTTCGCGATGAAACTCTCGCGCAAACTCACGTCTGCAGTGTTCGTCCGGGCTTCTTTCTGCAACATGGTTATATGAAGTTACTATAACATTAATACCTAGTCTAATTAATTAAAAAAATGTCTGAATTGAAGATGTGCAAGGACGTTTAGAGTATACGAGTTCACATGGCTCAGTGTTTGCTGCCTGTTATTAGCACGTGGCCCTGTAGAGGTGCTGTTAGTAGCACTTCTACATGGCAGTGCCACATGGCAGTGTCACATGGCAGTGTCACCTGCATGGCAGTGCCACATGGCAGTGTCACCTGCATGGCAGTGTCCACAGGACCAGGAGCGTAGCTCAGCACGGTCACGCTTGGCTCCTCGGCCGCAAGCACGCGGAAGAACATGTCGCGCGCTGCCTTGCCTGGGGCGAGTGTTCAAACCATGAGTTTATCGTTAAAAAATAGTTATCATTCCTAATTAAAACTAAAGGTTAATAAAATTCCACATCTTACATTGATAAAAAGTAAATTAGATAAAAGATAAAAAAGTAAAAGATAAGTAGATAAGTAGTAAAAGTAAAAGTATATAAAAAGTTCGGTGAAACATACAAGAGACACACAATCCGTCTGTTTCGGGAACCTATCCGCAAGCGCTGTTGGAAACGCATTCTGAGTAGCGTGGCATGATGAGCATGTGAATGTTGGAAATTACTGAGCTGAATGCGTGAAATTAAAGAGCTTAATTTTTATTTAAAGGCAAATAACTTCGCATCATAGTTACTGGTACGGCTGCACCTGAAACCAATGTGAGAGTTTCTCAAACAACGCTTATAAGTAGAACATATTTGAGAGAATGCATCGTAAAATTCTAAAGAATAATAAAAAATAATGAAAATAAATGACAGTAGAAAATACAAGACTTCATATTCAGTCATCAATTTTGTTTGACATTATATTTTGCATTATTGAACTAAACGAAGTCGCTCTCTTGTAACTCGGTTCGTGCACACTGCACTCACCTGAGCAGTAGAGCGACCAGGACTTGAACGGCTCGAGCGCACAGATAGAGGAGATGTTCACCACCTGAAATAAACGTCGTCGTGTCATAAATTGGACACATCCATTTGGATTCATTTACAATGATGCTTGCTCACGGCATGCACTTGCTGAATTTATTCTTAATTTCCGATCGATTTTCGGGTTTTTACTTTGAAATTGGGTTCAAAATGTTAATTATTGATCACTTAAAATTATGTTCAAGTGCATTCATAACTTCTTGATCAAAGCTCGGGATATTTTCGTTGCGGGTACTTGAAGTTGCTTACCGTCTCTTTAGGATCAAAGGCACAACTTTAATCGTATAATCCTTACAAGTTACAACGAAACATCTTGCATTTGGCTAAGTTATTAGCACCGTTTCAATGGCTTAAGCCTTAGCCTTTCACAGCCTTAAATTAAGCAATTCTACTCAAATTTATTCAGCTTAGAAGGCCGTCACTAACAAAATTTGTTTGTGATTCTATGCACGATTCACAAGTAACTGCAGCACAACTAACAACAATAGATAAATAAAGTTAATCGTGCCTGATAACAAACTTGAAATGAGAGTTTGTCGAGAAATTTTTACTCAGGGCAAGAATGTATTTAATTTTTTTTTCATAAATCACAGTTGCAATTTTGTACGACGACACTTTATTATACCGAAGGGTAATAAATGGGCATCATAATGATTATTTTGTGAACATCTCCAGCACTTAAGTGAGGGACAAACGTGTCCAACTCCCACCAGGGACCGAGCTCGACTAATGATTTAATCGCGCTACAAGCTCCCAGAAAATAGCGTAAGTAGGTTAATTACAAGAGAACGCAATGTAGAGGTAATAGAAGAAAAAACGTTCACGAATTAAAAATTAAAGAAGATAGTTTAATTTCCCACATTCTGAACAATTTGCGAGCAAGATACAATTAAGTTGTGATCTGATCCCTTTCTGTAGATAGTAAATTAGTTAGCGAATTCAATGATTTTCTCTGAATAATTTTTGAGAGAGTGGGAGTGTATGTTCAGTAAATAATATTTCCAAGGTTTGGACGGTAATGCCGTTCATGGTGAAATTGCTGGCATCGTCTCTACACCTGACAAAAAATTTAATTTGTTTAGTTTTGTTCCTCTTTGAGCTCTAAAAGTAAATCCAACTCATACTTAGAGATAACTCTCTAAACCGAGCATAAATTTTATTACTCATACTGATAATTATTATTTCTTACGTGACGAACATGTATTCTTTCTAATACTCGTATAATGTTATAACTTGTATTAAAATAATAACGATTGTAACCTACCTTTATTGTCATGCTCGGTGTGGCAGCTTGCTGAACTTTAGCGAGGCTCAAAAAAGCGGCGTTCAACACAACCACTGAACTGAGAGGCAAATATTCAGTTAGACAGAAACAATGACACAACTTTAATGTCAAAATACTAAGAACATTTTAAGAATTCAAGTCTTTAAATATTTTTACATTTATCTGAAAGATTTTATCTCATTTTAAATAACAATTTGATACAAAGTAACTATTTTTAAAGATACTCAAAGAAATTTCTTATAACCTCATAAAAATCATACGGCAAACTCTACTATAACAAAAACTGGAATAGTGCTTGACGTTTAACGAGGTACATTGTCGGTCATTGAAACGGAATCTTTTAAGCGCGTCCAGTAAATTACGGGCGTAGGCAGTCTCAGTCAAAAGCCGAAACAGTTTGGAATAGAACGTCCAATTCCAGAAGATATATAAGGATCGCAGGAGCCCATGCAGCTATTAAAACACCTGCCGCGCTCAATGAACAAATACAGCATCTTGCCTCCACAAAAAGTGTATGCAGGTACCTGCATAAATATGGATTTGAGGAATTGCAGAAGTTAGAGAACTCCTGTTCTTAAATAACTAATGTTTTACTGTGTACCGCATGTTTTGGAAGTCTCAATATATGAACTTTCAATTAGGCTTCGTGAAAATGCGTTTTTCTCAGGCAAGCTAACATTTTACTTCACACCTGCGATCGAGAGGGGGTTTGGAGGTAGCAATGGTAAGCGCTTTATTTCTACTAATTCCTTCTATCGTCTCTCGGAATGATAAAAGTTGTAGCTGAATATTGCGATTTATTTGTCTCAGAAATAACTCGACATTAGAATTATTCAACACTTAGGAGAAATGAGATAATATCAGTTGCATAAGGTGTATCGCTTACATTGCACTTAAATATATTTTGTAGTATATCGAGGCGAGTTTGAGAATTTTTGTTCTCGTCTTGTACTGTTGCTTGACACGAGTTTGAACGACAAATCATATTCTTCAAATGAAATTAGCAATAAGATTGGATTATTCTAATCGCAGCTAAAACATTCCAAGTGAAACAGAATTGTGACAAGTGTTTAATACATTCTAAGCAGACTCAAATTTCCTTCTTATCGATATTCTTCCCCTCTAATAAATCAAGTGTTGATTCAGCATTGCAGTCAATTCTGGCCGTGAAAAAGCGAAAAAGTTTTCAGAAGACTGCACTAAATAATAACACTTTAGCATGAAGGATAAACTCAGTTCAGATATCCTCGTCTTTATTGGAGCGCTGTAGAGCTCCAACAGAACAACTAAGGAACAAATAAGGTGTCTAAAGTTAGATTTACACCACCTGAATTTTAGTATCATCTAGTTTTAAAAATGACATCGGATAAATGACCGCCCCATTGTCAATGCACTCAGTTAATCGATTTTTGAAGTTCCATTCAACTCGATGTAGCACACTGACAGGTTATATGTTGGCGATGGCTTGGCGTATGTTGTACTTCAAATAAGGTGGACAGTTATTTTAAACAATTGTTTTAAGATAACACCATAAAAGATCAAACAGAGCCAAATCGGAAACCGGTCAGGATCGGAGCCGATCAGGAACCCGGCCTGAAGAACGAATACGGAACCGAGCACGGAATCCTCGTTGAGTAGCGACAATGAAACGGCCATTAGAAAAATACGCCTCAACAGCAAACGTACGCTGCTAAAATTTCCAATGCATAGTAGCAACAGACTAGAAGGGACACATAAATTCATGACCCTGCCTTTCATATGAAATACTCCCCGCCCGTTTCCTACAACATCTGGCTGCCTTGCTCGAAATACAGAACAGTGCTTCCGTGAATCACCTCGTATGAATAGTCAACCAATAGCTCTGTACGAAATTGGTTAATTTAGAGGAGTCTGTATGCATTGGGTATAGAAATGATTCTATGTTATAAATGAAAATGGAGCTGGAATATCATTGGATCACTTGTAAGTTTTGACAAAACTGTGACATGCACTGGTTGACTTCACAGCAGTGGGTAGTCTCCATGAACAATTTATTAACATCAGTGTAAATAACTGCATGGACTTGCGAAATCACATTTTTCAGCATCGACATGAGCTTAATAGCTACAACAGATCGACAGAGAGAAGGCAACGAACGAAATACGTCCACCAAACATCACGTTAACACTACCTGACATTGAGGTCGTAGTACTTGCTGACTTCAGCGAAGTTGTTAAGGTCTTTGGTGTAGATCACATCGCCAAGAGACCCTGCATTGTGGACCATCAAAGCGGTGCTCAGCGCCCCGCCAGGACTACGCAGAGCTTCTTCGAAGCCCTGGGCGAGTGCGTGTTGTACAACTGAAGCTTCCAGGCTGCTTAGGTCTTGTTGAACTGATATAAACTGTGGGTTGGGCACAAAATTTAACCAAATACACGACTAATGAGCTAGTGTTCAAAACAGATTGAACGGCATTACAAATGAATATATTGGTTATAATAGGGCGCTGTACTTCTTATTGTTCTTCGATGCTACTAGAAAATTTGGAGAGTAAAAAAAATGTAGCCCAGATTGGACGGTTGGAGAAATAGAGAATTAAATAACAATAAGGGCGTGAAATGGCACTACGCGCATAATTGTGCGGAGAATAATTGTTGCCGGACCTGCCGGAGCGATGGGAACATGCGGAACCGGACCGGGCATTAAAATTTCGTTGCATCCTCGTAATTACGTACAATATATACAATGATTGCAAGTAACTCGATTGGTACACAAAAAATTTGAACCATGTTGTATACATTTCTTTGCTTTCTGTCATGCTTTTGACGTAAATGTTTACGTGACCAAGGGGTTAAAGATGACACATCTCTGTTTTTTTTTCTAAAGAATAGAATAATTAATATGATGATGCGGACGATGAGCAAATGTGTGTGCATATGTGCATCGTGCAAGAGCACTTTGGGAACTTTTTTGAGCGACCGTGATGAAAATAAATAGAAAAGTTAAAATCGTTAGAAGACAGCTGATAAATAAGGAATACATTAGTCTTCTTCACAACTCGCCACTGTCTGATAAAATTTTTCCACTGAAATGTTCCAAAAATTCAGAAAAATTCGCTAAGATTCAGCTTTCGACCTATAAGACGAAAATGTATGTAAATAGTTCGAGATTATTTACATTACCTTGAATATGGTTCATCTAATAAAATGAATTCACAAATGAAAAAGTAAGTGATAAATTTACAAAGAATTTTCCTCGATCTAATGTAATGGTGACTCACGGCAACACTGGGGTTCGCTTCTTTGACGCACGATTTGCACCGCTCGAGGTTGGTCTCATCTCGAGCGACACCGATGATGACCGAACCGATGCCGAGGTGCGGCGCCAGACGTTCGCAGACAGCGGCGCCTATACCGCGCGATGCACCTGTCACTACCACCACAGTCTTGCCCCAAGCCATCGCCGCACCGAGCGTGAGTCAAAATTTGCAGCAAACTTACTGGAAGATTTTAGAATTAATTTTTTAGAACTATAACAATTAAATGCAGATCATGAAAAAATTCAATTATCTCTTTCAATCACGGCAATGGTGGGACCATGAGTACTTGAGGTAGTCTTCACACTTGTAACCTCTACGTACTGGAAATGGGTTAGGTAGCGTGCCGACTCAGCCAAGTTTCAGGCATTAGGTCTGAAAATAAAGCTACCTAATAACAACAAAAGCTCTTATCCGTATTAACTAGCGACCCGAAGGAAGAAAGCAATATCAAGTGGATCTAATTTGTATACAAGAGATTTTCTGGAAAATAATAATAGGTTATTCATATAAATTCCCTATACACAACTAGAATAACATAATTAATGCTATTCACAGTTGACGTGTGTCCATATTAATCTCACGTCGAAAAGTTGACTCCAAATAAAATGTATAAAAAAAATTTTTAAAGACCACGTTTTTCATGTGGACTCAAAAGTAGAAAATAATTTTTCGGCAGCTAAGAGTTTATACGCCTGGAAACGTGCAACAAATTATTGATTATTGTATTGTTATCGGGAGCTGAGCTTCCCTAAAAGTTTCAGAGCGCTAGCTAATGGGAAAGTTGGTGAAATATCGATTGCAAGATTTGATCATCACAGACACGAAAGCGAGCTAAGAAAAACGTGGTAAAAAATACGAGTGTTGGAGGTATGAGGTCGAGCAACTCTCGAGAGAAGTCATTAATTAGTGTAATTAGCCCTCCCGAATTATACAAAAAGAATGTTCCAAGTCAGAAGATTGTGCGAAATAAGAACCTTACATTCGCCGTTTCCATCCGTTAGAGAATCGTCTTACGCCTTGCACATTTTATAGACACAAAACTGGCAAAAAGTCGTCACGTCATAATTCACATGACTATGAAGGTGCTTGTACACGGGGATAGTGCTGACAGCTAGTAAATCTGGCAAGTGTCGGTCGCTTGGTGGCAATCCGGCAAGTAAGCCTGTACACGAGGAGAATATACGTATAAGGTGCCGCTACCTTCTTGTTCGCGCCCGCCAGTGCGTCGTTAGAAGCCGTAGAGTGAGGTGTGTGAAGATGGATAGTGTGATCACCTTCAACAACTCGAGTCTGTGCGTCATTTTTATCCTCTTTATTCTAGCCCTTAAAAACGCAATGTCGGGAACAACTAAACCCTGACTAATAAAGTCTTTGTTCAGTTTCAAAATAATCGTTCCTCTCTTCATTTTGTTGGAGTAACCATCATGGAAAACATTATACTTTAATTCATAATTTTGGAATATTTCAAAGAATAATTGAATATCGTCTGGAATCCACTTTGTTGGATTCCTCTTAGAAACATTATCGTTCAAACAAGCCATGATTCACTTGACCCAAGATACTTCACAAGAACGGCACAGATACTCTCACCATGGCTGCATCAGCGCTACTAGCCACTTCTCCAATCTCCAGCGCAGAAATCAACACATCTTTGTCCCTCTCGGTCGCGTCTCGGGCACTTGCCGGCGCATGCCTCAGAAGTGGCTGAACCCCTCCCTATACACGAGGCTAATAGCGTGGACAGGTCAAGCGGCGGATGAACTAGCGGCTAGTACTATCCCTGTGTACAGGCACCTTAATAAGTTGCGCGTTCGAGATCGCAAACTGTGAATTTTCTGCGATGTTAAAAATCGGTGAACGTTGTATGGCCTAATAAACGTTGAAGCCGCTATTATTACGAGAGTAGTAACGGAACTTGTGTATTAGTAATACTATTACGAGCATTAGTATATACTGGAATTTGTGGCCCGTGACCGCGCTCTCGCTTACGTAGTTCAGCCTTTATAGATCGACAAATGATATTTAGAACTGGGTCAATTCTGATAGGATCTTCAATAAAGAATAAACAATTTTCACGTAAAGTTAGTAAAAGTTTATGAACGTGTACGATTTTAATATATAGTAAAATAATTAGCTGCCACAATTTTTGACGAAAATTTTGACCATTCAGATGAAAACTTGTGCGAGAATAAGCTTATTATACGAACTTCAGGAGTCAATCAAACAAATCTTAGCTGAATCCTTTAACCTATATTGCCTTTCAATAGATTTGAGTAACGTTTAATCGTGGTGTATGAATAACAAAGTAAATTAAAATGAATTTTTGTATTGGTATTGGGCGCGCGTTGCTGAGAGGCAATGCAACTAAAACTGGGTGCCATCGACAAAAACACGAAAAATTGAAATCATTATTATAGCGGTTTCAGCGTTTATTAGGCCATAGGCCTGTCGCCAATTCGTAACATAGCAGAACATCCACAGCTCGTTACGGTCTCAAACTCGCAAATCACTGATTCAAATTCTGCTGTACTTAACCGCCCGGCCTCCTCGCCGATTCTGACCAGAAACTGGCGCACAGAGCTGGGATCGAACCCTCGCCTCTCTGCGTCAATCTTGGTATACTCTGAACTTTAACCACTGGGCCACCCTGCCCATGTAGGTTGTCAATACTATTCTATAAACTATTGACGGCTCAAGAAGCGAATAAATATATGTGTGCGTGTTTGGGGCAACATTACCAGCGAATCTATAAGCGGATATCCTTACCCAAGTGTTATCTGAGTACTGATAACTAACTGCATTTACGCTGCCCGATGCCAGCCTAGTACCGCAGTGGCCGGAAGGAAACAAATGCTAGATACTACACAGTCTTACACTTAAGATGTTTCAATTGAAACACGGTACCGCATTCACATGTTTTTTTCCAGAAACACTCATAGTTCAGTCTTTCATATTTGCTTAAAGTCAACGACTCATATTTTAAACTTTCGTAACTTTTTCAAATTAGTCAGGAATGTCACAAAACAGCAACCGCTCGCTGGTCCATGCATACTGGAGCCACAGGTGGCTGTCTCTGAGAACTGCCGCTTGGTCGGTGACCGTCGGTCGATGAATTCCCAACGCTTGTCAGTTGCCACTGAACTCCAAAATTGGAAACGTGCACATATATCGTATATTAAACATAGATAATTAAACTACTACGAATAAGATTTTATTGATAATAATTAAACGTAAAATGAATCTTTCATGTAGTTACTCAAGTCAATAGTTCTACTATGCGCTAATATCATGCTCAAGCAATTAAAATTGTCTAATACAGTAGTACTTATAGGTAGTTAATCCGATCCGATCGGTGGTTGTTTTATAAAATAAATTTGCTACGTAAAAATACTTTTTTGGTTTAGTGTTAGTGTAAATGGTTTTCATATATCTAATAATTTTCATTCGACTGTGAATTCCATCCGCGGAATATTATCAAACCTTTGGCTTATCAGTGACGGCCTACGCAATTGTTTCTCGTTTTCATGGAAACGAATGGATAATTTTAATAACGCGTATTTTAATCAACGAAAAGCTAATATAAAATTTGTGGTTGGGTCCTGGTTTATGTTTTTTTAATCAATTCATTTGCTCCTGGACTTCACGGTACTCAGAACTGGTATCATAGCTATACGCAAAGTTGTCTAGCTGCTGGTCGATTTAATCTTTAACAGGTAAAAATAGTTGAGCCAATGAGCAGGCGCAACATATACATCAATAGACTCCAGGAAAAAACTCAGTCATGCTGTTAAAAACTACCAGATCCTAAGAAATGTCGTAAATTAATGCGATACAACACAGCATCACAAAATTAATTAGGATAACAATAAAGGTGTTTTGTTGTGGAATTTTCACAAAATCTGAATGAAAATATGTGGAAGTTATTCACAGTTACCGAGCATGCAATTTAGATTTGGAGTCGAGGTGAATCTTTTTGTATATAAGAAATCTTGGCAGAAGACTTTTTAGAAGTCAACCTAATTCAATTTTTATATTCTCTATATCTAAGTAAAAAGGTAAAATTGAAAAGTATTCCTATCGATATATGCCAGTTGAGGAGAATCAAATCCTATAAATTAGTATAAAATTAGGTTTTTGGACATTTATGAATGTTGACAGCTGAAGCCGATTTGATGTAAACAAGAAACTTGGGTCAAATATTACGAGCGACCAACTCTTGGTTTATTATTGAGCCTCGAGTCCGCAACTGATCAATTGGCGATTAACAGCAAAGTATTGTGGAGGGCGAAATAGTGAAAAATTTATCTTTCCTGAACAAGTGGCTTTCATCGACCTGAGACTCTGAGTGAGAAAAAGATAATCGATAGCTATACTAGAGTGAAGAGTCCGAGAGTCGTAACAACCCTTGAACCCTACCCGGTATTCGCCACTCGGTACCGGTACAAATTAAAAAAATGGTCCGTTGGTATTATTTGTTGTTGGCATTTACCATAGCTATAGGCTTCTCGGAATCCAAGAAGGAGGTGAGTGTGAATTTGTGAAACCACTTCAGTGACTTCACTCTTCATTTTACCTAGACTATGTGTTAGCATGTGATGTGACTGATGTCTGACTGTCTGAGTGTGCTGTGTGCTAAGCCTAAGCCATCCCTTAAGCCATTACCCCAGCCATCCCTTATTACCCCATTTGACTGCTCACTTTGACAGACTGATAGTACTGCTGGGAAATGGCAATGTATTTTGTAGTTAAGGATTAACATGAAGAAATTTCAACTTCAAAATTTTTGTTTAGCTTCATTTCACAAAATACAGATTTTTATTGTATCCTGAATCTGAAACAATAGTTAGACCAAAAATGGGCAAAAAAGTTATTCTCAAACTTCAACAGTGATTTATTTATAAAGAATTGGTTTATTGTATGCCTCACAAATTTTGCCTTTTTGACCTTTAGCAGGGTCTGGGTCCACTGGTCCAGACTGTAAAGACTAAAGCGTGGCACAACATTGGTCAAGGAGGCCAATTTCATGCACCAAAGATGCCAAGGTGGATGCCACTAGATGCCAGTTGCCAATTATGCTTCTCCATAAATTGCTATTTATTTTCAATATGGCCAATGCGCCATATTGATCTACACGCGAGTACACGGTATGATCAGATTATCATCAGAACTATGCGTCATAGCGCATAGTTACGATGGCTGTGAGAGCTACTTTTGAGCACCAAAGCATACATGCTCAACAGCTCATAGCCACCTAAACTACGTGCTGTAGCGTGCAGTTCTGATGGCTGTGAGAGCGTATATTTGAGCACCCAAGCATACGCACTCCAAGCTATCTAAACTAATTGATGTAGCATGCAGTTCTGTTGGTTCTGAGTGCATATATTTCAGAAATTCAGTGCTTATGTTGAGAGAGCCTCATAGCACTGACAATGGATAACCAATGCAGCTTGTGATAAATCATTTAAAAAATGGACTAGATTATTAGTCTAGCCCCCTGAACTACATGCCATAGCACGTACCAAATCCAAACCCAGGTCACCAAACCCAATCCAACCAAACCCAACCCAAACCAAGCCAGCCCAATTCAACCACATTCAATTCATCCCAACCTAACAGAACGGTCTGAACCCAACCCTATGCAACCAAACCCTACCCAATGCAACCCAAACCAATTCAACCAAACCCACTCCAATGCAATCCTAATCAATTTAACCCAACTCAATTCAACCCAAGCCATTACAACCCAACCCAATTCATCCTAACCAACTTTAACCCAAACCAATCCAACCAAACCCAACCCAACCCAATCAAAACCAATTTAACCCAACCCAGTTCAAATCACCCCAGTTTAAGTCACCCCAATTCAATCCAACCAAATTCAACCAAACACATCCACTACAACCCTATAAAGACAGCTCACAATGCAATAGGCATGCTATGGATAACCACAATACCAAATTAACCCAGGAAGAACTGGTACAAATACAAAAATCCTTAGTCACAAACCAGACTTTAAAGTACTACAAATAATGGAAGCAATTCTAATTCAATGGAAAAAGATGTACCTAAACAACCAAACAACTGGATCTCATTGCACTCTGAAACTTCATAACTAGAGTGACTGTATACTAAACTGTACAAGAACTTTACTCAAAGCTTCGTTCACCACTTAAATTAGTTTTCTCTCTGCAGCCAACCTGTAAGCACCTTGTCTACTCTGCTGCTTGATCTTATTGCCTGAAGATGCTCAGTGATGATCAAAATGCATTGCCGGATTTACTTGACCTTCCATTTGGACAAATTTTAAGACTTGTTGAAGTTGTTGACCCTATTATTGTACCTTTCATCAGAAAGCTTGAGAAATTAAACTCGAGACAAGTTCTTAATAAAACTGGCATCAATTTTAACCAAACATATAGGTTCCTATATATATATTGTAAAGTACTTTTTTTAGATTCATGTAATAGCTACCGTCAAACGGAGTAAAAAGGGATGGGCGGGGTAAATTGGGATGCGCGTCCCACATTTCGTAAAAATGTTGTAGCAGCTAAACTAATCAAAATATTGCAAAACTAAAAATAGTGGCATAAACTTCAACATTTTCACTACCGTAAAATGGGGTAACTTAGACCGGCGGGGTAACTTAGACCACTTTTCGTTTTTTTAACAAAAACCCCCACAACTCAAAAACTATTTGACATAGAAAAATTTTGTTGATGGGCATTAAAGGCCTAATACTGAGGCTACATAACACAATAGAAAGATTTAAAAAGTTTGCATATCTAATATCTTAAAAAATTAAAAATGTGACCAACGAAAAAAAGCTATTATTTAAAGCCTGTCAGAGTACCCCCTTCAATTTTTTTATTTTTTGGTTAAATAACTCCAGGTTTTGATGCATTGTAGTAGAACTCTTCTAGTTACATATGCGAATGACAAATTTTAGGNTTGAAGATGTCATTGGATAGCCCTTGCAAAGAGCTATAAAATGAGCCTAAACCTTTTTCTGAAATGGTTCATGGTAAGAAGTTATTAACAAAAAATTTTGATTTTTTGTCTATTTTTTGAAGATGCCATTGGATAGCCCTTGCAAAGAGCTATAAAATGAGCCTAAACTTGTTTCTGAAATGTTTCATGGTAAGAAGTTATTAATAAAAAACGCTCAAAACCGTCCCTTTTTATCCCGTTTGACGGTACAGTAAAACTGGAGATGAATCTCTATTAGAGCTGTTTATTTTACACTGTCTTAGGTCTAACTTTTTGTTCGTGGGTTCCACACGCTCAACATGGTTGTATGAGCATATAAGCACTTAATGATATAATTTGCCATTTTTTGTATACATTTCTCTTCACAGCTGACTCAAGGGGAGCGAGTGCAGCAGCTCACTGATGCAGCAATCAAGAAGCCCATCATCAACCTAAATTCTGAGAAATTTAGGCAGTTTGTGAAGGCCACTCCACGCAACTACTCTGTCGTGGTAATGTTCACTGCACTTGCTGCCAACCGCCAGTGTGGCATCTGCAGGTGATTGCCCAATTTTAAAACTGACTGATGTGCCAGAATTATTTATGTTATATACTCTAAATTTTCAGATTGTTTTTGATATCACAATAATCACATGGCATCAGACCAAATACCATTCGGTCTGATTGGTCCATTACCATTAGGACTATTTATGGACCATTGGTCCATAATACCATTATATATAGGTCTGGTACCATTGTCTATTTTAATTCTCAGCAACTTCATGCATCACGAGACTGCAAAATCTCAGAAGCAAATAATGATTGAAAGAGATCTAATAATAAAATCATTATTTCATACTGAGGGAAGTATTGAAGAATATCTTCAGTCATTTTATGAAATATTTGAAAATCACAATCTGATTCTGCAGTATATAGACATGTACCGTGGAATCACTGATTTCATATGCATTGTTTGATTATCTGGCAGGCATTTATTTAATTTTGTTTTAATGGTATGGTGCTTTTTTTAATCTGTAAAAGTGTCTCTTTTTAAAATCTAAATAAGGCTTGGGTTCTATTTCAAATGTTCACAATCATTAACATATTCTGGAGCAAATAGTGACATGTTATATAGTTTAAAAATAATAACCACTTGTGATGAATTTTTTGGTGGAGCTTGAAATCAAAATGTGTTCACTCAGTCTTGCCTTATCATTCTCCTCTTGTTTTTTTTTTGCATAATTTTGAATGCTCACTATATGCCAAAGCATAATTGACGAGGTAATTCTATTTGACTAACAAAAAATTGTTGTATCCACTATCCACAAATGGAGTGGTTTCACTTTTCTGAGAACTCAGAACTAAAGTTAAATCTGCAACATAAACATATGTTATCACTTTTCTCAAGGGTAAAAAGAATGCATTTTTTAATACATGAGCAACATAATGGTGCAATCAAAGATGAAATGGAACAGAATGAGTGAAGTCAGAATTTTCTGTTAACCTTCAATTGTTTGCACTGAGTATATAGAGACTGATGAGTCAAAGTTTGAAGAAATTTGTATGTAACAAAATTTAACTTGAGTACCCAAATCTAATAATTTAGTTTTTGTGGGCATTACGTCAACCACGTGTGCAGCGTTGATGGAAAATAATTTTATTTTGATGCCACAGACATGCAAGTGATGAATTCCAGCTGGTTGGCAACTCATGGCGCTACTCACCCAGCTTCTCCAACAAGCTGTTCTTTGCCATGCTTGACTTTGATGAGGGCTCTGACATCTTCCAGCAGGTTGTACAATTAACTTGATGCTTTCCTGTGGAGATTCTTTAGTACTAAGCCTGTGTTAAGCCTTTAACCCTATTTTGACTGACGGGACTTCTTGGTCCCAAACCACCAGGTACAACTAGCATTGACAACAGTAAATGTTTCTGAGACCAATGAGTTATCAATATTTTTTACTTATGTTTTTAAAACCATGTTATGCAGAGCTGTTTAGTTAAATTCTGACGGCTGTTAATAGCCCAGTTTAGCCTATAGATTCAAGAGCTTATAATGACTGATGTATTAGTGTCTTGAAAGAAGAACTTTATCTTAGCTGGAATGAAGCTATTGTAAACTGACCAGCAAAATGCTTGTGTGTACAAATCATTAAAATGATTGAAACTCGTTTCTTAAAAAGATCAATAGAGCTGATTCTGGCTTCTATCTAATTGCTCCCAGTTTTTTTGGCAGCACTCCATGCTAAATTTTTCAATTACTCAATCTGTCATTTGATCATAATTTATACAATACTCATCAGTGATATGTCAGTTTATTTTTGGCCTGCCACTATTTACTGTAGTAGTAATTTTCATATGTCTCTTGACTAGCTTACAAGCTAAATCCTAACCTCCTTACACCTCACTGCGCAGCTCCACCTGAACTCTGCGCCTGTGTTCATGCACTTCCCTGCCAAGGGCAAACCCAAGAAGCTGGACACACTCGAGATCCAGCGCGTGGGCTTCAGCTCCGAGAGTATCGCGCGTTGGGTTGCTGAGCGCACTGAGATCCAGGTTAATGACGCCTCTTTTTCGGTGACAAATGTTGCTGATCCGATTTTCTGTTCATGGCAATAGAGGTAGTGGTACAAAATCAGTCATACTGGTGACACAAGATTAACCTTTGAACTGCAAATAACCTGTATACCAGTACCGTACCATATATCTCAGATTGAATCGTTTGTTGCCATTTTAAATTACTACGCTATACGTATTGAGTACGGTAAGTCATAAATTGATCAGGGGAAATGGTACTGTTATGGCATGCCTTAGCTGGACAACTGACAGCTTTCAATTGTTCATTTATTTTAGTGTCAATATCCTAATTTATTTCTGGAAGAAAAGTTATTTCTGCTGGCAAGATTTTTATTTCTTTTTTCTTTGTGATTTTTCCGGTGTATTAAAAAAATTATAACTCAATAATTGAAGGTATTTTCACCGCAAAAGAGTGGTGGTTCTCGGTACAGTGAAAAGAAATTTACATGTGGATACTGTGTGCCACCAGAAAAAAATTCGTTGTCGCCAATTTGACATGGTACCATATCTGCGTTGTACACTCATTATCTGCAGCTATTTATGGAGTAATATCTGTCTTATTCCCTGCAATAGAATTACATCAAATTTGCTAGATCACGGCTTTATTGGCACACAACTTGGAGTAAACAAGTGTGTTCCTGCAATTGAACCTTCAATAATGATACATTCTTCAAAAATTAACGCTTAGGGGCATAAAAATCTTGTGGATGAGCTCGACTGTAATGGATGTAAACCACTTCATAAGTTCACCTTTGTGTAGGATTAAGCTGAACTAAAAAATAGCAATGGCTAAAACTACTTCATAAACATTCATGGTGATTGTATCTGCTCTTCAGATCCGCGTGTTCCGACCTCCGAACTACACAGGCTTGCTGGCGCTGGTGGTGCTGCTAGCCATGGTCGTGGGGCTACTGTACCTGCGAAAAAACAACCTCGACTTCCTCTATAACTCCACCACCTGGGGACTCATTGCCCTTGTAAGCCTCTCGTCATCTCTCTTTTGCTGAATCGCAGCCATTTTGTTCTAGGAATAAAATCTGTATTTTGATTACAAATCTAGAACTAATGCACTGATGTGGAAGATTCAATGAATGATTTGAAAGAGTGTACGGCTAAAAGGGTTACTAGACGTAGCTGATCTGAAGCGCTAGAAATCTCCTTCTTACTACTACTACTACTATGAGGGTTACAGTGTCTGTGTATTATGTCCAAATTACTGAAATTCTTGTGGCGCTGCTTTGATGTTTACTAGTAGCTTTGCTGCCAGGTTTCCAAAATAGATAGTTTACGTCAATTCGGAAGGGGATTTTGTCAAATGAGTGAAAGCTTCAAAGTGATTGAAAACTATTGTTTCACAGGCGTTTGTGTTTGTGATGACATCAGGACAAATGTGGAACCACATCCGCGGACCTCCATTCCTGCAGAAGACACAGGGCGGCAACATAGCTTACATCCACGGGTCCTCCCAGGGACAGTTCATCGTTGAGACCTACATCATCGCCTCGCTCTGTAAGTGTGGGGCCAGCAAAACTCAGTATGGTGTGTGGAACAACCGAACAAGCCGTGCTCTCTAGTAGGTAGAGCTACATTTGATCTAAATGCCATATACGCTATATTCTACGTCATTATTGCGCGAAATTTACTGTCTTATGATTAGCCAATTCTTCTATTTAACTTCAACAGTGCAGTGCGATAGCTTGCATGAAATGTATTCCAGAAATACATTCCATAGTACCTGATGATGGGTTCAGCTCAGGGTGCCACAGCCATGATCTTTCCAGAAGGTGGTGAGAGGGTTTTACCTAGGCTCCTCTAAGTGACCACTTGGGGAGGTCTGCATTGTCCGCCATATTTATTATGCATATGCAACGCATGTTTATTGTTATTTCTCAATGAAACAAACAGGTGCATTGTTTTTTTTTATTGGATGAGCTAGTAGCCACGAATTACCTAAACAATTCTCAGACATATTTATTCAATATGACCAGCCTTATTTTTAATGACAGCTTCCAATCTACGTTTTAAAGGTTCACAGCAGACACGCAGCATTTCTTGAGGGATCAAGTACCATTGTTGTGTCAATTTAGACTTCAAACTATCCAAAGGATCATGAGGTGTTCTGCAGACCCTACTCACTAAAATAGCCCACACAGAAAAGTCGAGAGGATTCAATTCAGGGCTTCTTGAGGGCCATTAATTTTTGCTAACGAATGCTGGGATGTGACCCTGAATCCAGTTTTGGGTAATGTTTGAGCCATGTGATGGGGCAGAGTCTTGTTGAAAACTCCATGGTGAGCTGTTGAAGTGTTTACGGGCCCAAGGTAACAACACAGCTTCCAAAATGCTCGAAATGTATCGCTGACTGTTCAATTTCACTCCTGAGAGGACAAAAACGAGTGGGGACCTTCCAGTGGCGGTTACCGCGGTCCAAATCATCACGGACATGGAATTTGACGTCGCGTTACTGTTCTGGTTGCTACAGTTCCATCCCCACTCCAAATTCCGTCATTTTGACGGCTAACGCTTTGTTCAATGTCAAAAATTTTTTCTCGTCAATGAACACAAAGTTGGGCAGCGTGCCATCCTCAATGAGATCCAGAATGTGCTGGCATCTTTCGAGCCTCATTCGTTCATGACGGTCTGTTAGTTCATGCCTTGTTTGCATCTTGTATGGGGAGGTTTTGAGGTCATCTTTGAGGACTCTACGCATTGATGTCTGACTGACTCCTGCTTCTGCAGCTGAGCGACGAGGGTTTCTCCTCAACTTCTCCCTCGTGTTTTTGACCAATTGTTTTGTTCGGACACTTCGTTTTCTTCTTTGACCAGGTCGATTGCATGTTTTACCACTTTCATTGAATTTTTTTAACACCTTCCACACAGTTTCACGACGAACTTGGAGTTTTTTTGCAATGACTGAACTACTCTCGCCCTTTTCATGAAGGGTTACAATTGCATTTCTATCTACTGCCATACGTAATAGTAAATTTAGACACCTTAGACTTCTGCAATATAAAATAGATGAATCAATAGATGATATTAAGCTTCATTATAAAAGAAAAGTCTCCTAGAAACCAATTTATTTTTCTAAAGCAAACATCCGTTGCCATAAATATGGCGGACCCTGTAGTAAATGATTTCGATTTGGTTTTTGAAACATGCAAACGTTGATTGATGTATCGAGATGCATTGTAGTTCCTTGAAACATAATATAATATTTTCAACAAACAACTCAGTATTTGATGTTAGTGAAACGGGAATTGGATCAAACGGTAGAAAACGAATGTCATTTAAGGGGAGCGTCTGATTTTTTCTGTTGACATTTTTATTTATTTACGGACGGGTCACTTTGAAACTTGGTACACATGTGTAAAACAGAAATCTAAGATCTTTTTAAATAATTTTTGTTCATGTAAATTTTTCGAAATAATGGTAGAAAACATGAAATTCATAGGAAGCGGCAAAAGGGAGTATATATATACTGTATTTCTACATACTGTAGAAATCTATCTCCTCCTTGAATTTTCAAGCTACTACATCGAGACGCATATAATTCGACGCGTAAAGACCATATATAGAGATTCGTCATGTTTTTTTTCGAAATTCTCATTTTTGTGGGTGGGGGGGGGGATTTTTGTCAATTTTTCATTTACGAGGATTATAATTTCCTCGATTTCGAGGATTATAATGCACTCTTTCCATCCCACAGACGCGGCAGTCTCACTAGGCCTGGTGCTGCTCACTCAGGGTTATAATGTCCTCTTTCCATCCCACAGACGCGGCAGTCTCACTAGGCCTGGTGCTGCTCACTCAGGGTTATAATGTCCTCTTTTCATCCCACAGACGCGGCAGTCTCACTAGGCATGGTGTTGCTCACAGAATCAGCTGGCAAGAGAGAAGACGTGGGCAAGCGCCGTATTTTTGCCATGGTCGGCCTAGCGCTCGTTGTGTTCTTCTTTTCACTGCTCCTCTCCATCTTCCGCACGAAGGCTCAAGGTTACCCGTACAGGTCAGTTTACACTGTCAAAATTGTCAGGTACTTTTTTTAAAGGCACAATGGCCTGTCGGTGGTAGGGAATGATTGAATCAATAGATTTTGTTTTGAGAAATTTTTTTATAGATCGCTGAATTTTGAAGTTTCTCCCTGTTTTTCTCCGTGGTGTTCGATTCGTTCTTCAACTCAATAGCCATTGCAATAAGCGAAGGATGATTAAAAGTTAAATCTTGAATACAAGATTAAATTCCAAAACTTCACATTAAATTGACTAACTCCTGCATTAGTAATAATGAATTGAGGAGAAAATTGTACGTAATTCTGCACATGGAGTTTGATGGCCTGAAGTTTCTTTTGACCAGATTTTGATGCAACTTGAGCATTGTGAAGCAACGAAATTGAATTGAGTCGTTTTCGTCATATTGTGCATGCGTAATTATGCGCCTTGATTTTCTCTGTACTCTAAGAAACCCTTGAATGATGAGTTTTTAAACTTTAGTTGCACTGCCTTTAAGTCTGCCAAAAATTTCCCTGCCCCTGGTGAATGAATAATTATTGTATCAGCAATGCCGTGGGCGGAAGCCGTGTCCTACACTGGGACGGTTACTCATAACTGTCATTCTTGTATATATCATTCATCTGATACCATTTCAACTCTATTGCTTATTCCAATCAGTACTTTCCTTGTTAATGAACTCCGTTAATTTTGCACGCGACAAAGTTTCTCTTATGTCTGGAACAATTTTGCCTGTTTATTTTCAAAAATAAATTCTGCGACTTTACTCAATGAGAGTGACGGAGACCTCGAACGCTATACTTTGAAAAGTTTTTTTAATATAATGTCAATAAATATGAATATCATTGTTTTATCTCGTACTGCGAGTTTTTCTGGCCTCGCCTCAATGGTATTTTATTCTAGCTTAGTTAAATTTACTGTAATTACAAGTTCGAAGACGCTCGTCGTGCCCTACAAAATTTCAAATGTGTGCAGCTTCCTGCTCAAGTGAGGCGTTCCAGCTGACGTCTCGGCGCCGAAGATCCTACTATTTTTATGTTACGTGTGAGTTTTATTTTGTTGACAAAGGATGTGTTTGTTGAAGATGGCCCTGGGACCAAATAAAAAAATCACAACTAATGACGGTTTGGTTTATCCTTCTGAGATGTGGCTAACTCTCCGGGTTTTGATGTATCATCTTCCATCTTTTAATAATGTCGTGAGGATTTTATAGATTCTTAGAAATTAAGGTTAATGTTGGATAGTGATCTCACTCCACGGGCTCTTTTTTTTGTCTCGTCAAGGTTTACTTTTATTCCGAAAGATGAGTAAAATGTTGAAAACTATAATGAGATCAACATAGAGACCAGATGCATTTGTTGCAGATATGCTAAACCTTGTAGCTTACGGACATGATTTACAAATGAATAAAATATAGATACGATTTGATATTCCTGCAAAATCATCAAAACGTTTACAATTTGTAAACTATCAAGTCGAATATCAATGAATATATATGTAAGTTATCTGAAACATCAATTGATGAACGGGGATCATCCTTTGAAATTAGCTAAGCCAAGTTTGAAGTGAGCAATCGCAGTCAACCCACCACCCGCGGACTGCAGCGCGGGTGTACGCGATACAAGTGTGCGCCCGTAACACAATGCGATACGACCTACCGCTGGCTCTGTGGGCCGTCCCGCTCCCGCACTCAACGTGTTAAACAATCACAGGCAAACCACCCACAAAATTATGCCCAGGTATACGCAGACGGAGAGCACTAACCATCGTAGCTTGCCGTGCAATGCAACGGTTTTTAGCGCATTTTCTCATTAATGGAAGAAAGGCGCTATTGTGCTCGACATGTCCGTCCGTCCATGACTTCACGCTTTCGTCGACGAGAAAATGCGCTCTCTGTCACTCACTGCAGTGAGTACTGAGTTATATTTTTTGTACATTGAATCTTGATGTTGTGTTCAGTAAGTATGATCTTGAATCGCACTGATCGTTGAAGAAGTCGAGACGGTTTTACCCGAAAAATTCTGTATTTTTGAGCTTAAATCTGTCGCATTGATAGTAAGGGTATTTTCTGTAAGGAATTCGTGCTGTAGGTTAGAATGGAGTTTCACAGTATTGATAATCGCTCACAGCGCCGTTCCACTCAGTGTGCTACCCACTCAAAGTTTCGTCCCACTCCGTAAAAAACGAGGCTGTGAACGAATCATATACGTTCTCATTCACTCAAAGATAATCGTTCATAAACAATTTTTAAGGGGGAGCGCAGCTGTGCACCACCAATTTTGTGCACCAATAAGCCCTGAATCGAACGCCTTGGATCTCTCCGGACATCCACCAATAAGCCGTGAGCCACTCTGGTTTGTCCTCCTCCGGCCTTGCATAGAACCTGCCGTGCATCACCAGGCCGCGGATCGAATATGTCTTCCGGGCATGGTTAAATTACGTAATTTTACGTTCACAGCATTTGAGGCTAGGTTTCCATAATTTATCGTCCTTCGACCAGTGAATCAATCGTCAGCTATGGAAAGATCGAGTTCCAAAGGCCGGATCCCTTGTGAATCAAGTGACGAAAAGTTCAAGAATCGGCAACAGGCCATGGGCCTATTTCTTCAACGCCGACACTTCTATTCTATTCTAGTGGCCGTTCGACCGAGGGCTGGTTCGACGCACGGCCTAGATACGGACGGCTTGAAGTGTTGAAGGCTACGTTCGGGAAGGCAGGAATCATGATGGTCCATTACATCCAGGGCAGTGGTGGTCTTCGGCAGGCGACCCTTTTAAGGTGTAGAAATAATTTGTCCAGTCCCTCATATAACCGCTCTGAAGTAGGGCACTACAAGCCCAACATAACTGGTTGATTTTGGCGTGGGTTGTTCCCAACCTTCCATCGACTATCAGGCTCTTGCTCACTAATAATAATATTGTACTAATTGCTCACAATATGGAATTTATATTATTTAAATAGAAGCTACGATGAACCCATGGCCGTCGCGATATTTCGAGAAATATTTACATAATTTCGTCATGTGTTAATGGAAGTTGCAATGACACGTCATGTACAATGTTCAGCTAAAAGTTTTCACACGTTTCCGATATTACATTCTAAGCGAGCAGTATATTTGCTAACGGCTCACAAGGGGGTTTGCCAGTAATCAAGCCAGAGCCAGACATTCGCAAAAACATTCTCTGAAGGTGCGTTGATTTGCGGAATAACCTCAATCTGAATATTTAATTGCAAGAAGTTAATTAAAATTATTCACGTAATCACTCCAATCAGTATTTACCAACGCATTCGTAATAGAAATGCATCCAAAATTCACACAAATGTACCTTGTTCCATATTGTTGTAGGTACCTGCATGACCGGGGACCCTTTGACTCATTTGCCTGAAAATATATGTTGAAGGTTTTTGTTGCTCTACTCTAGACTCTAGAGTTTATAACAATCTTGTCACTAGGTATGGTGCTTAGAAATTTTTAACTTGAACACATATTAGCCTACACTGCTTGAAGAGTTGAAGTCTTGAACGATCTTTTAATTTGTTGAAACCTGAATACGTGTGCAGTGCTTGGACAAGTCAGACTTCTTCAAATCCTCAATCTAACCTCCCTGAGGCTATCTTGCTCTAATAAATTGCTCCTTTTGCGGTTCTGCCTAAACAGCTGGCCAAGCTGGGTTTGTATTAGAATAGAATAGCGGTTTCAGCATTTATTAGACCATAGGCCTGCCGCCGGCCGATTCTTAACATTGCAGAATATTCAAAGGCCACAGCTTGTTGCGGTCTTAAACATGCAACTCACTGCTTCAAATCTTGCTTTGCTTAACTGCCTGGCAGGCTGGCCTCCTTGCCAATTCTGACCAGAAACTGGCGCACAGAGCTGGGATTGAACCCGCGCTTCTCTGCTCCAATCTTGGTACTCTCTATTCTGAACTTTAACTACTGGGCCTATTACTTTAGCTAGGCTTTTAGCCTATTAGTATTACGAGTATTAGCTGTGATAATATTTCTGGCCTCAGTGTCAGTGCTCAGTGGCCTGGGCCCCATTGTGGCAAACCAGTGATTTTTTAAATTCAGTTCATTTTTAATTTCCTCATTTTCTCAAAATTTTAACAGATTTCTTATGTATGATAATTCTGGTATCCAAGATACTTTACTGGTCTACTTATAGGGCTCAAAAATGAACTTGAGGAAAAACTCTAAAAAACTCTCTGTTTTGCCACTATGCTGGGCCCACTATGCAGAGGGTCGGCAATATATGGATTTTTAAGCCCAAAGCGTCGCCGGCCATTTTAAAGATGCATTGCCGGGTAATTTTTAATGAAAAGCCATTTACGCTGAGTAATGACGAACTATTTACAAGCCACGAACTTATTACAAGGTTGCATGCACGTGTTACCCCAAATAACTAATTTTACCCTAAAAACAGTCCGGTTGTACAGCAAGTGTCCCATGGTCAGGAAGGTGCAGCGTGTACGCCGGAGGTTCGTTTTCGGATGTACGCCAGTACGCCAGGAAAGAAAGTTGCCAATATGCTTGCTAAAAACGGAAGTGTAACCCTCACCAATGCTGCATGATCGACACAGGCACATGTACTTTACGATTGATGCCTGGCGATCGTCACAAACACACGTCATTTTTTGCGGGAACTCATCGCAACTGATTTCCGGACAAGCTTCGCTGCATCGTAATCCATCCAACGTACCGGAAACCTTACTTTTTTTCTAAATAGTTGGCTGAAGACTGAGATTTGAGAAATATATTAAATGCAAGAATTTCAATCTAAATGTGTCGGCAAGATCTTCTGAAGGCGAAAATTTTGCCGATAATGCATCGCCGTAGGTCTTTAAATCTTTGTTCACTCTCTGCACAGTGGGCCTGGGCAGTGGGCACGGCACGAGGCTGGGGCTCCATTATGGCATTATCCATACCATGCACTGGGCGCTGGCGCCTGGCAGCTGGCGCTGTGCAATGAGTTCACCCTACTACTACTAGGCTATAGCTTTTCAATACCTAATACCTTGGCTTCAGCCTGCAAGCTTGATTGTTAATAGTTAGGTCAACTTAATAGGGTACTAAGGGCAGGCCTAAACATACCATATTCCAACACATTAAGGACATACCAAAAAATGAATGGCTATAAAAAGATTACCGTATGTGCAACTCGAGTTCTGATTGCCTTACGTCACTCTCAAAACACAAAACTACGTGCCAGCAATGATGGAACGTCACAAACTGTTGCCATATTTATTTAAAAGCCTTTAGAATTAAAATCTACAAAATCCCTGAATTCCAAAGATGTGTATGACTAAATTAGGCATATTGTGAGACTAATTCAGACAGCGCTTCAAACTCTTACTAATTCATAATTCCAACGCCCTGTGTGAGCAACGCTGTGTTGGAATTCTGATGCCCTGTGTTAGCTGTATTGGAATACGACACAGCTCGGAATGAGCTTAATAAAAAATTTTAATTTTTTAATTAGGATTTTAATTAAGAGCTATTAAGCTTTTAATTAAGAAATTTTAATTTTTGAACACAGCTTGGGCCTCAGAACAAGCTGTGTGTGTCCAATTCCAAGCTGTGTCAGAATTAGTTTTTTTGTCTAAAACCATCTCTTAACTTAATCATCTATTAATTTATTTACCACTTGAAATCAGCAAATACAAGTATACTTAAAGGATTCCTAATATATTCACAGTCTCACAGACTTATTTAAAAGTCTCAAACCATAATATTCTTTCTACACAAACAGTTTATCACTACCGTAAAATGGGGTAACTTAGACCACTTTTTTTCTTATAAATTATGCCATTTTCTTACTAGCTAAATTAAACTTGAATTGAAACGTGCAAAATACAGGTCTATACTCTAGCTTCACTCACCATAAATTGCTGGCTCCTGCCTCTCATAGTCTTTTTGTAATTTCAAAAAAAGTGATCCATTGACAAAATTTTTCTATGTCAAATAGTTTTTGAGTTGTGGGGGTTTTTGTAAAAAAAACGAAAAGTGGTCTAAGTTACCCCGCCGGTCTAAGTTACCCCATTTTACGGTATTTGGTAGAGCAAGGTCAACTATCAACTTTGACATGTGTTACGATGTTCTGGCTAGTTGACTTGGACTTTCGCTCTGAGGATCTTAACATTTTCCCGCAAGACCTAGTGTTTTGGCTGAATGTGACGCGCAATAGTATGACGTCATTATTTCAACCATCTACGCATGCATGGAAGTAAGACAAAGCTTAATATAAAGGAATAAGTTGAGAAGTGTTGGAATTTCCAACGATGTCAGAATATGGTGCATTTACCCTAAGTTCCTCTAGTCATACTCATGTAATGTAAATTGTATTTCCAGTTTTCCACTTTTATTCAATATTCAATTTATTATCTACTCAATAGGTATATCAATCTCTTATGTATGATAATGCTGGTATCCCAAATACTTACTGATCTACTATTTGTACTTACAGGACTCAAAAATGTACCTACTTGAGGTAGGGCAACAAAAAATGTTCTCCGTTGCCACAATGGCTTGGCAATTCACAAAATGGGAATCTAGCTGCTGCAAAAAATGGTAGGCATGTGATCAAGCAGGGAAAACATATTCCTTTAGGGCTGCACCTGCAAGTAGAGCTTTCCCAATTCCCGCTATTTCCGAAACCACAAGTTCCCCAGCACATGAATTACCTCCTATAATCTAATTGTTGACAAAAGTGTATGATCGGGCCATGAGTCTCCAAATGCAAATGTATTAAAAATTTGTCAGCCTGGGACTGTAAGATTTCAGAAACAAGCAAGGCAATTCCAATCCTGCATCACTGCATGTGACATGAGAGACAGCTTGCTAACAGTAACAGGTAATGGCAAAGAACTTAGAAACTAACACATCTATGATTGAAATAAAAAATTCACTTTATAAAATGCTAAATTGCCTTTATAATGAAGCAAAGTGTTCTTATTGCTATTTTTAGGGTAAATACTAAAATTAAATATTAATGAACTCATTAAATTTTGAATATTAACTTACATGGTGATGGTTTGGAAAATTTACCATCCAATGGGTAATAAGAGACTGGCAAGGTAAATTGGGACAGTCCCCTGTCATGGCCTAAAAATGTTATAGTGGCAAAAATAATTGAAATATTGCAAAACTGAAATTAGTGGCATAAACTTCATTTTCCTTTCTATGTAGCATAAAGAAAAGTTAAGAAATTACACATTTACTAGATCTAAAAAATCCATGTAAAAAAATGTTATAAATGATATTTTAGAAAAGTATATATTTCTGCTAAGGTCTGTACTAAAAACATATCTGCCATATTAATTTTCTTAAAAAAACTTGCAAACAGGTGTTGGTTTTAAAATTGTAATGATGGAATTTGTGTACCTTGAGTCAGAATAAAATGACAGCCGTTTCTGCAAGATGGGGTATTATAAGACACCCCTCCTTCATGGCGCAATTCAGGACACCCATAAAAATGCATTTACAGCAGAACCTTGGTTAGCAAAGGTTCCAGTCCATGAAAATATCAGTTAATGACTAAGAATTTTAATTAAATTTACCACCAAGCTTGGCAAAAAAAATTTCACTTGAGACTTGACAAAAAATTAATGCATTATTGATCATCACAAATTGTGCATAGAATGTCATAGATAAAGTTGTGCACTGGGTGACATGGAATGAAAATTAATTTAAAATTTGATATGGTAATATCATTGATAAATGAAAAACAAGTACAAATCACAGAAAATATCATTTTACATCTACATCATCTACGAATGAAGAGGACTTCTGAGTACTGTTGGTAATGGATGAGTATGCTCTGCATGCTTCAAACGTTTCAAAGTTAAGTTTTATTTCAAGTGTCTTGGATTAGCCCATTTGCTGGGGTAATTCAGGATGTTATTTTTGCTTCTGGTACCTTAAAAATAGCATATAGAATTTTTTTCAGAGATACCATAGGAAAGCCCTCTCAAAGACCTTTAAAATGAGCCCAAACTCATATATAAAACGTTTCATGGTAAGGAGTTGTCAATGCAAAAAAATTTGTCCCTTATTTCCGTGTATGATGGTACAGGTTATGGTCCATGTATGTATAATATTGATATTCAATAGGTTTGAGGTTCAAACTAGGCATTGCAGCCATTGCTAATGGACAAAGGTTACTGAAAATGCATGGGCACTACTAAAGAAGCTAAATTGGAAAATATTTTGTGCCTGCCCAGTATAAAATTATTATGCACATTATTATTAATAATGCACAGTGTTTTTTGTGCAGCTAGCACAGTATAAAATTGGGTTAGTCAAATTGCAAAATTGCATTGGTTGGGTGAGGCATTAGCGGAGTGAAAATATTCAGCATGTGCATGCATGCCCCCAGGCATAGCACAGCTGCTCTATTGATCAGGCACTACTAGCATAACTTCACAATTCAAAAATCAGGTTTCATTGAAGATCAGAGAATTTGTTTTATTTACAATAATGATGAGGGCCTCGTGATAGCCAAGGCCCTCATCATTAAGGATGGGACTCCAGCCATCAACCTTTAAACTACTGGATTTATCAGAACATTGAGACTGTTTTTGGAGTGATTTTTGGTGTTTTAAATACTTGAGTATCTTCATGTTTTTGTGATTTTGTAATTATTTCTAACTATCTTGATTTCTGAGTAGTATCCTATTTACATGATTTTATACTTTTGTCAATCCAAATTCTATCACTCAATGCATCTTGTAACTTGATAATGAGTGATTGATACATTTGAAATGTTGTTAAAGAAATAAAAATGTCCATCGGTACCCTGATATTCGATTTACTAGTGCAAACGAAAAATATTGTTCGATCTATTGAAAAAACTAATAAGGAAATAGTAAATAAAACAAATTCTCTGGTCTTCAATGAAACTTGCATAAAGGAAAAAATTTTGCCAACCTATACTAAAACTCAAAAATCATATACAATCACCAGAGTATTGGTGATGCCCAATGATTCACCAATTGATGCCTAATTTATTCACAAAATGTGAAGCCTACATAATTGAATAAGTTGGATTGTTACCATAGAATCTTGTGTGTACTGAATCCTTGCTTTAAAAATGCTTCCTGAAATTTAACAAATTTACATTTGCAAGTTTGAAGAGAAGGGCACAGGTGAGTGGGAAGGGTGCAGGGTGCTGTGAGATAGGTAGATATTAATGCACATGCCACACAACTAAAATGCAAATCTATGATGTGAATCTACAAGACAAGAAGCTGCTTTATTATCATCTTTTTTTTACAGATCTGTAAACAAATGTTTTATTTTGTACAGGTGAATCTACTGTATCATGATCTTTTTTTTACTAGTTGTCTGTTGCTGCATTCCTGTTGCTATTTCATGTGCTTATTTAATTGGGAAAATTTTTTCTTAAGAAGCATCAGTCAGCCAAAGCTGTTATTGATACCATTATGTTTGTATACATTATTAATAGCAACCACTGTGTTGATTTTATGAACTAAGTTGAAACAAGTTCAGTTGTAAAATTCACCATAACTTTTTCAGAGAAAATGTAAATTTAAAAAATCTATCATCAACATTATATGTTTCAGAGACTGAGAGTTGAGTGTGTTTTGGGTATTTTAAATCATTGACAACATATGAAAAGTTGATAATTTTGACTCTTTTATAGAAGATATCTAAAATTAGCCTTTAAGATGGGGGACTTGAACCAGTGGTTCAATAGTTTACCTCCCATGACAAGGTATTGGTTTGGAGGTACAGTTGCCTTCTCCTTACTTGGCCGTTTTGGAATCTTACAGCCACATTGGCTCATTCTACATTATGATCCTCTCTTCTACAGCTTCCAGGTGAGTTCTTTTTTCTACCTTGCAAGTATCTATCTAGTATCTAAATCAGTGCATAACCTCTTTTTGATAGTTTTGCACTGTATTGTGTGTACATCTTTATCCCATTTTTTTCAGGTATTTACTTGAGCTGATAGCTTTGATATCTTGCAAAACTTTTTTTCTGAAGTTTGTTTCAAATTATGTACTACATTAGTTATTGACTTGAATTTGTGTTTAAAAAGTTGATTTTAAAAAGAAATTTAAGGCATGATAAACTGCAATTGATTATTTGTTCTCAATTCTCAGTTTCTTAAAGATTCTTGTGCTTTAAAATCTTTAATTTCATTTAGAAATGGGCAGCAAGCATATCAGCACTAGTGTTCATGTGCACATTTGTGTGTTGACAGCTTTAGGCTACATTCATGTTGACAGCTCTAGACTAAAATTTTACATCTTAATTTGGGCACAATTTTGGTGAAAAATTGAGATATTTTGTTGCAATGTTTTTTATGGAAGAAATAGTTTTATGACATAAAAAGTCAACTATATTATTTATTTATTTATTATAATTAATCATCTTCAGAAATTCAAGAATATTTTCTCCAGTGCTTCATAGTAATTATGTATTTATATTTACAAAATAAGTTTCAGTATGAATATAGTATCAATTAATACAATTTATTATGTTGAAGAGTGACAAATTTTCTTTTTATTTTGTTTGTTTATTTAAATTCTTTATTTTATGAACTGTGATGGTGAAAGTTCATGTGGGACTTCCATTGAAATTTCAATGAAGTACTTTCTCTAATAAAGTGTTCTTGTTACAATTAATAAAAATTATAAAAGATCAATTAATCCAATGACCTGATGCTTTTTAGATGTTCATACCAATAGTTGTCATATTGCTCAGTTTTATATATAAATTTTGCATAATTTGACCCTGTCCTTGAAATAATGCTTTGTATTCAATATTTTGATTGTGATTTCAATGCCTTTTTGTGACACAGATTTGGCGGCCAGTGACAGCACTCTTCTTCTACCCCATCACACCCGCCACTGGATTCCACTTCCTCATCAACCTCTACTTCCTCTATAATTACTCTTTGAGATTGGAAACAGGTCTCGTCCCAAATTTTATTGATAGTTTGAAGTGAAGAAGTGATATGATCACTGATTATTGGAGTTGAAATGATGTGCACATTTTCACTAAAATACTTGACTTCATTAACCTCCTTGCAAAACATGAGTGGTATAAAATATCTTTCAACTTGTGTTCAGGACATAACCTTAAGTAACTCTTGCAATTAATTTCTGTTTTAAAAATCGTGGATAAAAATCATGTCCTAACAAGGTGCTGTTTTGCGGTGATGCAAAAGATATCTTCAGATCTTCTGAATCCCCAAAAAGTTGTCAAAATTACTATCAAATGTCTGTACAAATGAGCATAGCTACAAACATAGCTAGGCTCCAAAGTATAACTATGAGTTAAAAGGTTGTGTAAGGTTGAATCGGGTAATATATTTATATAGGAATCTGATGGCTGATTGTATTAAATTTATTTCAACTGAATTTGAAATTTGATGGCAACTCTTAGGATATTAAATTCTATTTATCATGTTATTGATAACAACTAATGGGATGTTAAAGTCTGTTCAGCATATTGCTGTTGAATAAACTGATCAAGCAACTGATGTATTGTGCAGTGATGGGAATGGTGCTATTAATTAAGGTGTAAATCTTAAATAGTCATTATTTTTTGTGATATTTCCTGTACATACATAACCTGAAAATAATGTAAATGTCTAGAATTTTTCTTTATCTCAGAATGAATATTTTAGTCAGTATTGCAGTCTATGAAATTATAGTGAGAAGATACAGTCAGTTTGCTGGAGAGTTTTGGAGGTTAGTTGCTTGGTAGTTTTTGTTTAATGTTTATCAAAATTCATCTAAAAAATTTGAGTTCTACATATAAAATTTTTAATTGCGCAGGTCTATTTTTGGGCCGAACGGCAGACTACTTGTTTATGCTGCTGTTCACGTGGCTGTGCTGCGTCGTTGTAGCACTCATGGGCAACATAATGATGCTCATGGATCCCATGGTGATGTGCGTGCTGTACGTGTGGTGTCAGCTCAACCAGGAGACCATCGTCTCCTTCTGGTTTGGCACGCAATTCAAAGCCATGTACTTGCCGTGGGTGCTGCTTGGCTTCAACCTCATTGTGGCTGGAGGGTGAGGCCTTGAGCTTGCCTGAAATATCTCTTGCTATACTGAGGGTGGTTTAGCTTTTAAGATTTTTTTTATTCTTGACAAGGGAAGAAAAATGGGAGGGAATGTGTTCTTAGTTTCAGTTCTCAAGAAGTGATATTGGTTTCAGTTCTTGCCGAGTTGAGTTCCTGGAGCTTCCAGTAAAACTTTTATTGATTTTTTTAGACTAGATTACACTTAATTTAAAATCATTGAGATTTAAATGTGTTGCACAATATTTTTAGGTGACCGTTCACAAATTTTTTTAGTTTTCCAGTGAAAATTCTTGAGGAATTCACTAGTATCTAATATTGCAATAAATTGTTACAAACTATGAACATCGTCTAGACCCTTGAACATACAGCATTCGACTATGAAACTCGTCTTTAAAATTAATTGATACCCTCGTGCTTGCTGATGAAATCCAAAAGATCTGAGGTATTTGTTAGAGGCCAGTGATACAATATTAATTTATTTTACTTTTCTAGAAGATTTTTGGACGGGATACATTTACCACGTTACTAATAAATGTTCTGCAGGGGCCTTATGGAGTTTGTGGGCATCTTGGTCGGTCATCTCTACTTCTTCCTGGCGTTCAAATACCCGCAAGACTTTGGCGGCGCCTCTCTGCTCAGCACGCCACAGATTTTGTCAGTAACTCCTCTGTTATATTTATTTTTTGGGGAAATTAGATTTTTATTTGTTTATTTGAAGTTTGGCTGTGGAAATGTACAAGAAGTGACGAAAATATTAGTATGATTCTGTATGTACATTTACTCATATATTGATATGATGAAAAGATATCTTGCTGGTATTCATTTTTACTATCATTTCGGGACATTAACTCGTATTGAAAATTTTTAGAGTTTTGAAATAAGCAGACGTGCATCATTAAACGGAGCAGAATTCAAAAATTGACACTTTATCTACGCCATAATTTACTCGACATTATTTGTAAATGAAAATAAAATCAAAATTTTCTTCGTATTTCAAAACCTGAATTGCATCGAGTCTTTGTTAAATGAAGGTTTGAATGGGTATTTCATCAATTCATTCTGTTGTTTTGCAATGAAACCATGCTATGGCGTGGAAGACCATTATTACTCCATGCTAAACTCTTAGAAGATTATCTTATCACGGCGATGCTGTGTATAACAGCAATTTATCAACAATTCGTGAAATTTAACCCATAAACCCCTTGCGCCTCAGTCATTCGTGCGAAAGCACGAATGACTGAGGCGCCTCCCCCCGCGGATGCGGCGGATTCTTCCACGCGGACGCGGTGGGACACTTTTTTTTAGATACATTTGGAAATTTCACCCTCAGTACTGAAAGGTAGACATTTGAATCGGGTAGAAATGTGGCATTTTCTATGTTCTTCGAATGTCCCATTACTGGGACAGGGAAAGTCATGTGCTGTCTGCACGTCGTTGAGGAGAAGCTTAATATCTCTAATTATTTATTATTTCGCAGGTACGATTACTTCCCAAACCAGCGAGGCGTCATGTCAGGCTTCGGTCAAGCGCCCCAAGCTCCTCCTGCTGGGGGCAACGGCAGAGGAGGTGGTGGTGGTGGGGGAGGAGGAGCGTGGTTCAGAGGACAAGGTCACACGCTGGGATGAAATTTACCAGACATTTCAAAGTAATTTTTGTCAAGATTATTTGGTACAGCCATAGTTGGATGAACATTAAGTGGAGAACATTTGGTTATGAAAGCCTTCAGATAGATATTCAAGGTTGAATGTTTATTTTAACATCTCACGTTGTGTTTGATTTGAGCACTTGATTGCTTAAGCCTTTTCTAGGAACGTTGAGTTGCTGGTTATGCTTGACGTCACTGGCTGTCGATTCTTGTTATCCCAACCCCTCAAAGCTCGCATGTATTTAGGAATTTTATATTGATGGATTTATATCAAGCATAATGCCAATGGGCATTTCTACCCCGCACTTGCAGACACGGTACCTGATATTCTTGAGTATCTTCACTTTATATGTCCCCCAGTTAGGCCACCTTAGTTCCTCTAGAATTATCTACTAAATACTTTGCTAATTCTAGCAATTTGATTTTTATTGTGCGAGTCCTTCAGTTATCGGTGGTTTTTCTAGGACGGCGTTGAATGCCAATATCGAGAATGTCGTTTTGCCACATATCCCATTTGATTTTATTTAAGGGATATAGCAGCCCAGTAATTGCTTATTCACTCAGTGTTGTGTGATACTTATTTGCGCGTGCAAATTTTTTCATTTCTGCCGATTCGATTGATTGCCATTGCGTTGATGTCAGTCGTCGCGCACCTGAGTCTATACAGGTGCTTCCCGTTGTGCTCGACGCTCGAATGAAAGCTCGAGACGCAGAAGTCTTGTGCCGCCTGGAGTATTTTGATCATGGGGATCGTTGCTTTTACAGCAACTAACCCGTTTACTGATTTTTTACCGTCGTTGCAAAAATGACTCGTTTCCTTATATTTGGTACGTCTAATAGCCCATGTCTCACTGTCTTCGAGTTTCATTAACCCATTGCTTCATTGACGAGAGAACTTCTCTGATCGAAGTTCAAGTAGGAAATGTCTAGTGCCTAGACATGACTAATTCAGAGCAATTAGAAGAGGCTACAGTGCAATTCCTGTCTTTGTCGCTGCGTGACGTTAGGTTTACCAGTTCCCTCTTCTTTTGAAATCGCGCCTAATCGTATTGCAAGACTTAGGATACAACCCTCCACTGTCAACAAAACCACGGCTCAAAACATAGACGTTCACTCACACGTGTGGCACGGGATGAACAAATTTAAGATGTGTAATTACCAATTTCAACGTAAATGATTGGGTGATTAATCATTCATTAATTGATGATTGAGTCGTTGGAAATAAAGCAAACTAAAAAGTGGACTAGTGTAGCGATAACTCACTTGAAACTAACTCGGGCGAATTGTTTGAGAATTGAGCACAAGTTTCTGCTTGATGTGCATCGAATATTAATTCCTTAAGGCGAATGAGGTACTATCTCAGTAAATAAACTCATTGACTCTTCGTTTATCTTGGTGATATTAGAATTCAGACCATCAATACGCAAAACAAAGCTTAGGTCGCCATTGAATTACAATGAGCAGGTTTCAGCAAAAAGCTACATAATCTTCAGGGACAATCGCGTCACTGAGATTACAATATAAACGAGAATGAACCTACCTTAACCCATTAATGCCGAGCGGTTCCATTTGGAACCAGCGGGAAAAATGGATCCATAATAAAATTGAATGATCAAATAAATATAGAAGTGTATGCGTAGGTTTGATATACACCTGGTACATGTTCTTTCAACGTTTGGTTCTGCTTCGCCGACTACTCCCTGTTCAGTTAACATTCAAAGATTATAAGAACCTGGTGTCAGGCATGACGGCTTGATATCATTGCGGAGAAAGGGGAGTAATTCGTTTTAAAAATTTATTAGTTATGAGTTAGATGTAGAATTTTATCGATAAAGCGAGTAATTTTAATGTTGTATATGGTTTTACCTGTTACCATGTTTCTAAAGTCATTTAGATCGTGAAATATTTAGCCCGGTTCCTAATGGAACCAAGCTATAATTTTTTCACATACCACGAAAAATGAATATTTGAACATATTTTTCATTACCGTCACAAGTGGTAATAGTAAACAAGAAAACAAAGAAAAATTCAGAAAATAATTCTCGGCATTAATGGGTTAATAGGGGATCATAATTATAACTACGTATTCCTTAACTTCAGCAGGCGACCATTTCATGACAAGTTCCTTCAATAGTCTTCGCTATCCGGTAAAATCGTCCGCAGCAAGTAGAAACACAGGACTAAAGAAGCATTAGAATAGAATAGAATAGAAGTGTCGGCGTTGAAGAAATAGGCCCATGGCCTGTTGCCGATTCTTGAAACTTTTCGTGACTTGATTCACAAGGGATCCGGCCTTTGGAACCCGATCTTTCCATAACTGACGATTGATTGGGATAGCTGCCGGACTTATTGCCTGCTCCGTAATTTGCTAGGCATTTTAAGACTGAACATATGCTCCTGCATAGCTTCGTCTGGACTTATTGCCTGCTCCGTAATTTGCTAGGCATTTTAAGACTGAACATATGCTCCTGCATAGCTTCGTCTAGTCTGTTTTTGAAGATGTTCATACTCGGAGCTTCAACGATGCTATCAGGGAGGCTGTTCCACATGTCGGTGACTCGTGCTGTTTTTTTAGTTTATAGCCGTGGCCCCTGGTGTTGGTTCTTGTTTCAAATTCTAGTAATCCTTCTGGGACCTTGTATAAGCCATGAGTATATTTGTATACTTCAATGAGGTCCCCACGCAGACGTCGTTGAGGCAAGATGAAAGCAAATCGCGCGATAACGCAGAATTTATTACAAACGTATCACAGATTTCTGACTTGCACACGATCTCTTCCGTTTACGCTAGCAAAACTTGTAACAAAAATAACTAAACTCACTCATTTCCTTCATACCAAATATATTTATCACATTACTGTGAGGCCATTTTGTCTAGCAGAAAAATTGAATTGAGAGGATTCAATTCAGTGCAAAAGCTGAGGGCTGCTGAGGGAGATATGTTTGGAAACAGCCTCCATTGAATCTGCAATTATTGGAAAAAGTCGATTTTAATAATTCAAGAAAGTTCTTACAGCAAAATGACAGAATTTGTTATCTACAATTCATACTCTATTTTATAAAAAAAAGACAAAGAACACTACAGATGATAGGTTAATATCAAAGATATTATTTCCTTAAGCGTATAGAGCGCTAACTTATACATCACTTCAAAAAACAGACGTGCGTGGAAAGAAATTGTTATTTAATGTACTTCACAAGTTCTTTTTTTTTTGGTTTTGTTAGAAAACATCAAAGACCTTAGAGCTTGAGTTAATGGAATTTCTTTAGGACTCGAGACGAACACGTAGGTAAGGTGCCCATATTCCCTAGGTCCAGGAAAACAACCAGGCAATGCCAGTAGAGGCTTCAAAAACAAGAGCAATTTTATCTTGAAGCCACCTCTACTGGGACGCCGAGGAAAAATGTTCCTGTGCAGGGGGGTTGGTGCTTAAGACATAGCAGAGCTTAGTCGAGCGTAAATATCCTTGCGGCGATGTCCCTGATGAGCCAGTCCATTCCCTGCACGAGGTTGTCCCCCGTCACGGCGCTGCAGGGAAATATACTCCAGTGATGAGTCTTCAGATTTTGCAGGCTCAGCACCTGCACAGGTGAAGGGGTTCATGTCAAGCAATCTCCTCAAGAGAATGACAGAGCTGCGTAATTGCAACAAACTTAGAGATTCAACAACAAAGTTCAAATGAATTCCATCTTAAGCAATGTTGTGAGCCAGTATTACCTTACGTTATTGAAATTATTGAATTAATATACTTTCCTTTACTGTCCAAGCAATTCTATACATTGAATGACTAGATTTGAAATACGTACACCATTCACTAAAAGTGAAATTATTACTTCCACTAAATGAATGACCGAGATTTCTAACATTTAAAGCTAATAAATTCCATGTTAATCATTTTAAATAAATAACGCACAAACATTGGAGAATAATTCTAAAATCAGCCGACCTCTTAGGTTTTTAAAACACTCATTCCTAAGAAGCCTAAAAGCTCCTCAAGGACAATCCATTGCCTTTGCTATCAACAACAAATGAGGGTGCTAAGCTTCAATCAGTTACAAGATATCAACACCACAGATGTCCACATGATTCAACAGTACAAATCGATCCTTAATACGAGTGAAATGATTACTGGGTATTGTATTTTGTTTCCTCTGATCATTGTTAATGCCATGAAAAACTCGAACTCCTGAAGTTCACATTTATGTAACCTAACATAAAATAATTTATGTGAATTTTCATGTATTATCGATATATGGAAGAGAAAACCCAAACACAATTATTATAATAGTTTATATAAGATTAAAAAAGGTCCTAAATACTAATTAATTAATGATGCATAAAAAATTGGTAATCCCTTTTTCCACCAATCAAAATTCTTAACAAAGCTTGCACCTTGTATTCATTAATAGTTGTCCTGTACAGCCATTAAGCGTTATGATTTGAGCATTTTTATTCTTCATCGTCCTTTCATAACCAGGTTGAGAAACTGTTGCTTGTCATCACTTGATTCCCAACTTAATTTTAACTATTGAATGTAGTATCACAATTGCCCCTGGGAACGCGTGAAGACATTTACACGCCCGACGCCACGAGAGCCGCGGCACTCACGTCTCTGATGTCCTCGGAGGAGAGCGCCTCAGGAAGGTCCTGCTTGTTTGCCAGGACCAGCAGCGTCGCCCCACACAGCCTCTGCCAGACATAGAGTAGCTCAATAGATCATACTAAACTTATCACCAACGTGCAATAAATAAGATCAGATGACAGGTATTTGTAACGCTCATACGGTATCAGTTCTGCATTAGCATTTCAAAATTAAATTGTAAATAAAACGAGCTGCATGATTAAACTTCTACTGGATTTCACAGCTTGTTGCAAATATAAGTACAATGAAGATGTATAAAATTTTGTGTGAAATGCATTTCAGAGCATAACCATTTGTTCCATAAAGAGCAGATGATCATCACAGCACAACCACACAAAGAGTAATATCAGCATAGATTTACCGTACATGATTTGTGAATACGTACATGAAGAACAGAAGTGTATTTAATTAAGCATTGTTTAAATCTCAAGTTGACTTCACATAATGACTAGATGCATACTTCTTCCATGAGTAACTTGTGCAGTTCCTTCTCACAGTCCTTGAGGCGGTCCACATCAGCTGAGTCCACCACCCAGATCAGGCCATCTGTACACTCAAAATAGTTGCGCCAATACGAACGTAAGGATGTCTGCCCACCAACGTCCCAGATGTTCATCTTGTATCTGCAATAGAAATTGATCCAACTTGTCCATATTTTACACTAATTGAAATCCTAAAGTGTGACTGGACCTAGGAATTAGTATATCAGAAAATAATGAATGGAATTGAATAGAAAAACTGCACATTAGATTTTTCCATCCATATATATGAAATGAATTGATTAGAAAAACTTTGTGAATCAAAACTTTTTAACAAATAAAGTTGAAAAATTTAGCAATTTTAATGCAGTTCTGTAATACTTATCTTCAAAAAATAATAAATGTTTTGGTTTAAGTACCATAGTACTAGGTCTACAAAACCACTTCTGCTTATATTACATTGATACATGTATAATGTAAATGGTGGTCTATGACAACATTTTCTGAGGACTGATTCAAAGGGACATTCTTGTGTAGATTTTAGCTGATTCAAGATGCAAAAGTTAGGTTGAAAAAGGTTAAAATATACAATATATGAAAAAAATATTATTTTTGACAAGTTTTAAAGAATTGTTATATTTATTTTTTAATTTGTTGAGTGGTAGTTTATTTCACAAGGTATATATATATAGATTCTATTTTGCTACAGAAATATTCTCTTATACACAAAACTTGTCGATTTGTATTGTACATAAATTTCAGTCACAAATTCAAGAATTGTAACAAGCAAGTTAGTTAGTTCAGTGGCCGTAGTTGCTAGCGCTTCAGGTCGAGCTATCTCGCGCCGAAAGGCACATCGGACATTATTGGCTAGGGGTAGATTACATCACTTGTGCGGTGTTGTGCGGATCATATGTAGTCAAATGCATTGATTGCCCTCAAGTACTCCACGAGTCGGTCAACATTATAGTTCCCTCGCTCTGGTTGGGCCAAAATACTTTTCAGGTTAACGTCGGGGTTGTCTTGGCATAGGTAGGGGAAAAATTGCCGCCGGGCATCACCATAAGACGGACATTCACAGAGGAAGTGGGTTACGGTCTGGGGCACTAAGCAGTCCATGCAGTAAGGAGCAGGTGCGCGTTACATGAGATGGCCATGATTGATTCTTGAGTGTCCATGAGTGATTCTTGAGTGTCCAATGCGGAGACGAGTGAGGCATACCTCTACCCGGCGTACGCGGTGGGACGGTGATGGCCAAGGCCTTATGTCCTCTTTAATTTTGCGGAGTTTGTTATTTTCAAGGTGTGTCCACTCTTCTTGCCACTCGTCCAGCAGTTTCTTGCGAAATATTGGGTAATAGTCTTGATGGGGAACACTTTCATTCCCGTGCGGTGTCTCTCTAGCCGCCGCATTGCGTGAGAGCTCGTCCGCGGCTTCGTTGCCTGCCACCCGAACATGACCGGGGACCCAACAGAAGGTAACTGTCTTCTGGCGTGCAGAGAGTCGGATCAGCCATATGTGTATGGTGGTTCCCAACGGATGCGGCGAGTTGTAATGTAGGATCGCTTGGATTGCACTCATGGAGTCGCTGAAAATACATATCTCTGTGTCTGTGCTCTCCTTGGCAATAGCGATGGCACACAGGATGCCGTACAGCTCTGCCGTAAATATTGACGTCGTCGTTGGCTTAGGAAATTCAATATAAAGAAGGCCATGTGTCCACGAATGCCACACTCGTGTATGGCGCGAAGAATACCGAAGTGCCAGGTAGTGTCGTAAGCTTTTTCCAAGTCGAAAAACACACCGACAAGGTGCTGCTTATCTCGATACGCGGAGAATACATCAGTTGTGAGGCGAACCAGGGCATCTGTTGTTGAGCGAGCTCGGCGGAAACCAAACTGCTGCGGTGACAGTTGCTCTTCATGTTCCAAATAGTTCGTTAGTCTCACGTTGACGATGCGTTCTAACAGCTTACATAGGCAGCTTGTAAGGGCGATCGGTCTATAGCCTGTCTCTTATACACATCTAGATGTGTATAAGAGACAGAGGTACGGAAGAGGACGAAGCCTCATGCCGTTTGGCCGTACTTTCAATTGATTTAGATCGTTCTCGCGGGCGTCTGGCATTGCGAGACGATGATCGGCGGGGTGCTGGGGTCGTTGAGGGTTCGGGGGAGACTGGTTTTTCTGTCGGCGTGGGGGGGGAGGGAGCAACGACTTGGTCCACAGGTGTTGGGGTCCCGAGCTCCTGTGCTACACCAGCAGGTGTAACACGTTGGGGCTCCAGTGATGAGGTGGTTGCTGCATCATCACGATTTTCTTTTGTGGTCTGTCGTGGCTCCAGCACGCGGTCAGGGCCACGGTTCTTACGAAGTATGGATGCGTAAGTGGTGCCCGGTCGTGGGACAATGGCACTCGCTTGACGCTTTGCGTCTCTATACATTAGTTTCTGTTTTACTTGTATTGCCAGCGTTTCCTGTTCAAGTTTGTAGTGATAGCAGTCAGGTGATGATGCTTCATGGGGGCCTCCACAATTAGGGCATCTAGCCGGTCGGAGACACGGCAAATCATGTGCATCTTCAGAGCATCTGGGGCATATAGCAGTTGTCGCTCGGCATGTTTTAGCTCCATGGTTGAAGTGCTGGCACTTATAGCATCGGCGTGGGCGAGGGATGTACTCTCTCACAGCACAGCGGTGCCACCCGATCTTCACTTCGGTTGGGAGCTTGCATGTTGCGAATGTTAAGACATATAACGGAAGGTCCACCAGGGTTCCATGTAACTTCTTCTTCATTTGGTAGATTGATTTCACGTTATAGTGGCTAAGATGCTCTTGTAGTTTTTCGACTGAATATTTAGGCTCATTTCGGTAGTAGATGGTTCCTTTTGTTTCATTCAGTGCACCGTGCGGTTCGACGGTGACAGGAACAGCTGCTAATGACTTTATGTTTAGTATGGATTCACTCTGAGCTTTACTTTGTACTTCCACAATGAGGGCTCCGTCGCGGGTCTCGTGCACATTTTTGGGTTCACTGCCCAAAGAAAGGACAAGTTGCCGGTTGGCCAGAACTACGTCAATGGCAGCTGGGCTCTCACCCGTCGTCGACGAGACGCGGAAGAAGTGAGGGTAATCTCGGTTGTGGGCTTCTAGGGTTGGCTGAGTTTGTCTCCGTGTTCCTCGTTTAGAATTCTTATTTTGTCCGGCCCTGCCAGAGGCCTGAGGGCGCGGGTTAAACGGCTCCAGTGTTGTGATCAACATGGAGGTAGGAGAGGTCAAGGTTGGTTCCGTAGTGAGGGTCCGGGTCGTTTCCGTTGTCGGGGTATCAGGTACGAGAGGCGCATTCAAAGAGGTCATTTTCCAGGTCCGGGTTGTATGGTTCGTCCGACGCGCTGAGCAGGCACCCGTGTATCTGCCTCCAACAAGGGATCCCTGGTGTCAAGCACACGTAGTCTTGACGGGAACACTCGTACGCTCGGATGTAGCTTTGGTTGTCGTGGGCGCAGCAGGTTGTGCGCTTGACTAACGTTGCAAGACAGGCGCCACTCCATCTGCGCGGTGTTTAAGCAGCCCCCCGCCTGCCCAGGAGTCCCGCAGCTAAACCTTGCCACGCATGACTATTGAAGCTAGCGGGTCGGGTCTAGGTCCCCGCCAGGGTTCGTCAATCCAGCGAAAGGTCTTTGCGTATCCGTAAGAGAGCCAGGTCGTTACCAGAAGGGCGTTTTGCCATCTCTGTTAGTCTGGACTCTCCACCCGAGCCACTCGGCCATGATAGCATCTGAGACCGCACAGCCTCGGGTCTCATCGAGACACGCAAGCCCCCCCCCCCCCGCCACGGGCGAGATGGCACGGTGGGGAACTTGCCAATATGACGTCTGCATCCGTCGTAGAATAAACAAATTGCTTGACGTGTTAAATGGAACTATTAGTGATTAGTTCCATTGGAACTAATAGTGATAGGCAGTATATTGAATTGAAGCATGGCCGGTAAAACAATATTACGCACACAAGGACTATGATCAATAAATAGTACTAATACCCAACTATTATAAATCATACGGCAGATTAAAATATTATTTCTGTCATTTTGACTTTTGAGGAACACCTACAACATCCTGGTTTTAATTGCACCAAACAAGCTTGTTGCAAGCATTAGACAGTACAAGTATGCCAACCATCATGAGACTTGGTGATAGAAGTAGCAATACGATATCTCACAGCAAAGAGTTTGATGAGCGTGGTCTGCAGCAAGTGCTCTGTCTCATCCTGTTCCTCCTCCTGCAACTGCGGGGCCAGCTGCAGCCCACACCGCAAAACTGTAGCTTCCATTTCACCTTTCTCACTCGCCCCGTCAAACACTGGAATCTAAAAGATAACATTTGTGATAAATATAGCACTGTACATAATACATATTGGAACTACTTCAAGGGCAACATTCATTCAAATACAACATTGTACCTTGAACCCTCATTTGAATTATTCAAAAAAGCACATTTGCAAGGAAGTGATGGAAAACGCAAAGATAATGAGGAAACTCATGACAAAACCTATTTAGCCAAAACAAGAATGACTTGAATCTTTAGTCCAGGTATTTCAATGCAAATACCGGGAGAAATATATAGAAACATGACAAATTTTAATATAAAACACTAATAGATGAATTAGTAAGAAATTTTCATCAAAATAATTAAATATTATTGTTTGACATTATTGAGTTTTAACAATTGAATTCTTCGGTATGTAATGGGTTCAAAATAATGAAAATTTTAAAAGCAAAGAAAACTACACAAAATTCACCATATTTCTATTGAAAACGTTTCCAGCGCCATCGTCAGTTCGAAAAATCTAGAACACAAATACAATCAGAAAATAATGCAGCCGAAATTAAACGAAAAAATACTAAAGTTAAAATCTAAATTTACCAACAAAAGACAGAGCAATGAAGTAAAAACCTATCTATTCACAATTTCTGTTGGATACGAGCTAAAGGCGGCATTTAAACTAGGCTTCTCTTTGAAAATATGCGATGATTCTAAAATAAATAAAAATAAAGCCTGGTTTAAATGCCGCCTTTAGCTCTTATCCACTAGAAATTGTGAATAGATAGGTGTTTACATTATTACTGCCTTTTGTTGGTAAATTTTGGTTTTAACTTGCGTATTTTTTCTTTCAATTTCGACTCTTATTAACTTCTGATTGTATTTGCGTTTGAGGTTGTTTGAACTGACGATGAAGCTGGACTCCGAAACGTTTTCAATAGAAATATGGTGAATTTTTGTGGAGTTTTCTTTGCCTTTAAATTTTGAGCAAATTTGCAATTTTTAAGTGATTTTTTTTCTTTGTAGTGAATTTGCGATTTTCTAGTGACTTTAATACTGGTTTAAATTAATGAAAAACAACTATTTCAGCCTAAAAATATCTTAATTTCAGCGAGTAAGCATAATTAAGAAGAACTCTAGAAATATATCCAAGTTTAGGCAGACCTTGAAGTCAGTGAGTGAGACATAGGGTGGCGGCACGAGCGGAGGGTAGCGGCTGCCCCGACATAGAACGCTCCGCACTTTGCATTCTCTTTCACTAACCCCCAACACAAAATGGTGGTCGCTGCGTCCTTGTACCTGAAGAATAACTTCTAAAAGTTTTTTTTTCTTCACTCTTACATTTCACACAACAACAACATACAATGGTTATGGTTGTTGGTTCATAACAACAATAGGTTATGTGTCAACCAGCATAAGCTTGACGAGTTGCGTATGCAGAAACTAGTTACTCGGCGCATTAGCATGCTAATGGTGATTTATACGTTTCCGAATAAAACAAATGTCCATAGCAATTCAACATCATCAGAAAGAAGAAAATTAGATGATGCAGCAAACATTGATGAGCATTTTCACCCAAAAAATACCAAGATTAATCGAACTACTGGTTTTATGAAAGCCTTTCTTCAACTTAAAAATTTGCCAACTCAAAATGGGTTTGAGTCAGAACAATGAAATCAGTGGTATTGATGATAAGGGAATACATGACTCATACTAACCGTTGCCTTAGACGCAAGTATGATGGTCCAGGAGCCGGGGTAGTTGGGGTGCAACATGCGCACATACCCAGCGCTGTCCACGACTACAGGCGTGCCCTCGTCTGAAAAGCCTGCCCAGGACACGAAGCTGCTGGGGCACAGAGCAACGGGCGTCGCAACAGGCACTAAGTGGGTGACACGCTGCCCTGCAACTGTTGGCTTCTCCGTGTTCAGGACCAACATGTTGATTTGCTGGTCACCTCCGCTCCCTGCATACAAAATAACTTCGTGCCTAAAATGTAGGTTCAATACATCAGTACTTGGTACAGCATCGGCGTGTGAAAGTATGACTGTGGATTTAAATTAATAAACTTTAGCCTAATGTTCCCAACTCATTGGCGAGAATTCGGCTTCAATCGTGCGATAAAATGTCTACTCCCCATTAGCATGTTGGACTTCAACTTTGTTCTATTTGTAGAGGAAGAACGCTTGCCCCCCATCAGTTGGTGATATTATTTTTAAAGATTGTTTTTTTCTTTCTTTCTAATTTTTAATTTTGCTAAAGCAAGGCCTGAAAATTACAACATAACGTTAAACAAATGCATTTTGTTCAGGCAATGCATTTAATCTTGACTTATCTAGCAATTAAAATATGGATACTGCTGGCTGATTACATGAACAAAATCGAGATTCTCATCAAAAATAAACCGACGAAGTTAGAGTTGATACTTGTAAATTAAAATTCAAACGATTGTAAATTTAAAAGAACAGTACAGCAGCTACAATTACATGCTTAGAATTTTAATAAGATATATATAAAAAAATTAAAGTTAACCAGTTAATTAAAAGAATTAATCTATTAATTCTTATTTAAAATTAAATAGCAGTCCAAATGAACTAAATGAATAATAGTAAATTAGCTGAGTACGCACCGACTGCAGCGTGGTAGAGCAGCATGAGGTGATGCTCGTGGGCAGCCATGCACACCAGCGGACCAGGGACGCAGAGCACGTCCAGACTCACGCCACCCACGCTCAGCACGCGCACGATTCTCTTGCTGCTTGCAACGCAGACAACTTTATTGCCTGAAACACAATATTATAATCAATATATTACTCAAGAATTGCAGTGTATCAACACCAAAGTGAACAATGATGAATTATATTTCGGAATAGATATATGAATTTCAACCCCATTGAATAATCTAATTGTGTGGCAACAGTAAGGAACTCACTGCAGGCGACGGCGATGCAATCTTCGCCGTCAGGGAGCTCCACTTGCCAGTCCTGAGCGCTGCCTGACGAGCTAGCAAGCAGCAGCTGCACCCACGCGCGACTATCGCGTTGAACACGTGCGACACCGTCAACGTGCGACACCAAGAATTTCGACACCGTCAAGGTGCGACACCAAGAATTTCGACACCGTCAAGGTGCGACACCAAGAATTTCGACACCGTCAAGGTGTGACACCAAGAATTTCGACACCGTCAAGGAGAAATACCAAGAATTCCGACACCGTCAACGTGTGACACCAAGAATTTCGACACCGTCAACGTGAAACACCAAGAATTTCGGCACCGTCAAGGTGCGGCACCAGAAATTTCAGCACCGTATACGTATGGCACCGTCAACGAGCGGCACCAAGAATTTCCAACAAGGAGGGGAGTATGAAAAGGAGGGCGTGATAGAGAAGATAAATGATACCAGGTGGGATAATGAAATGAAGTATCAGCGGAATAGATAACAACATGAAATTCCAGAGCATTGAATTATAGTCCATGAACAGCGTGTACAGAAGAGAAAAAAATATGTAAAAATTATATGTGTTTGTAACCGCAATTACAGGAACCACGCCAAACACGATAAATGATGAGAAAGAACAAGTTACAAGCTCCCAGTACCATGATTTTCATCAACATCCACCAAGCCAATGGAATGGCCGGTAGAAGTAGAAGATTAGGTCCAAGTGAAGTGAAGATAGCGCGATGCCAACATTCCAGAGGGAAGAGGGAGAGAAAAGAAAAAAGACGTTAAATGCATGAACAAAATTGAATATGCTCACGAATACATAAATTATAACGTCAGCTTACTAAAGACGTAATCATGAGTTGAGCAGGCCCAGACTGAGGCTCCGATGGTATCAAGTTTACAACTGAACAGCCCCTAGAAAGGCCGTTGAGTTTGTGGGTGAGGTCTTCCATGAAGCAAGGAGAGGCGTGTCGGGAGCACTCGAGCTCCTGCCACGCCAACACCACCATCACCAAATTCTAGGACGCCTATCAGATCTCACCTCTACACTCAAAACTGCACACCATTTTGTCTCCAACTTAGAAAATTTTGATTACTTGAAATTTCTTCACTCAAAAACTTGGACATGAACGCCAAAATTTGAAAAAAAATTTCAAGAGTTGCATTTATGAAGCAAATAATACAGCATTTCACAAAAAAAATGAAAATGTGTAATAGCAAGTCTGATGTAAGTGACAAAAAGTGCAAGCGTAGAGGTAAGACCTTGCGTACATGAAGCAGGATACCACATGGAGCTCTACAGTGCAGGTAGCTGCTACTGAACTCAATCATGGAACGCATGTCTCATCAGGTCATACAAAACGGCAAATTAATGTTTCACTAGAGTAAAAAAATTTTTCATTGCATATTTCTTCAAGTTAATAAAAGAAATTTCCCAACCTTGGTGTGTCAGCTGAAGCTTCAGAAGCCAATACAAGGGCTTGATGAGAGAGCCCAGCAATGCTGTAGCCAGAGTGTGCATTGGGGAGATGAATGCTGTGGTGCAGGCTGCTGTCGTGGAATTCCACTCCAATGCTGCAGTCTTCTTCTAAGTTGTATTGCTTGATTACGCCAACCTTATTCCAGATCTGAACAACAAGTTAATTGTATGTGAATATAATCACCTTGAGAAAATAACTGTGGGAAAACCAGACTAAATTCTTACTCGATAAGTATTACGACGTAAATGATTAATGATAACAACGTTATTATCAAGAATTACCAAACAATCAGACCATGAACTTTTGTCATGCCAATAGCACAAGGAAATGTCAATATGAGCTCGTGTTTGTTGTTAAATATGCATGTGAGACATACCATGTATCGCTGAGAGTGGTGTTCTGGAGTCATGCTAGGAGTGAAGCAACGCTGCAACTCAGCAACGGGAGCAGCAACTACTGCAGCTGCAGCAGGTATTGCAGATTGCTCGACAGACGGCGCAGAGGCTTCAGTTGTAGCTGGTGTGCAGACAAGCAAGATTTATTTCTCAACCGGGACAGTTTTAAGCTTGTGCTGCGGAACACATCTACAATCAAAGGCTAAAAGTTGCCCATATAAATTTATTGTGGCACTCACTACACTGTTCGAAAAAAAAAAACTGAAAAAACGGTCTTAACGGCGTTTTGGTAACCAGCCCACCCCCCCCCCCCACCATGAAAATAAACCGTATTGCCGTTTTTACAGATTTACACGGGTTTATATTGTAAAATTGGAATAAAAACGGCAGCGCGGTGTTTATTTTCACGTGCCGGCCGGTTACTGAACGCCGGTAATACCGTTTAACGGTGATTTTTGCTAACAGCGTAGGGTTCCAGACAATTTCACAATTTTACCAGGCTAGTGCTTCCTCACTCATCCAAGAAATTAATTTAAAAAAATTAAAGCAAACGTTAAGCATAAAATAAGCATAAACTCAAAATAATGTAAAAGATAAAAATAAATGATAATATATATGACATTATATATATGCTAACACTAGTTTATTATTACTCTAAAACATAATAAATGTGACCGATTCAGTCCACAGAAAATATAATCATTTAGAACTTGAGAAACAAATTTTCCATAATGAAAAAAACTAAAAAAATTAAATGGCAACAAGCACCAGACCTTTCTGAGAAGGAAGCCCAATAAAAGTGCCATGTTCATCGTCAGCAAAGCCCATCTGGGATTTTATCTTAGCTAGGGAGATGTCATTATCATCTTGCAGGTCATCAGTGGGGTCCGATAGAGCATGGTTTTCATCGTTGATGTCGTCCAACATGTTATCAAGAGCCGCATCCACTTCAAGAGGGGGGAAAACGTCAGATGACATCGCAGGAACACTCTTCCCAGATGATGCCTGTAGAGAAATGATGTATGAATCACTTAAAAATGGTATATACGTTCTAATCGCCAAGGAATGACCAGACATTCAGGAGCAAATATACACAAGTTAAAAATAAAAATCAGTCCTGGTGGATATGTTAAAAGTAGATATATTTATGCATAGATATATTAATGCAATAATTGAATCCATATCAATTCAATTATTCTAATTTAAATTTTACCAGTTAAGAAGGGAACAACCACCACACCAATGTGCGATTATGAGAACGCAGTCTGTAGAAAATAATATAAAATATTCAACCTGGACTTGTGTTTTGAAATGAATTTTATAAAGCATAAACCTCACAACTGCATAATGACAATTTCATGTAGTCACATACCCCTTTGCTTGCAGTTTGGTCGTAGTCAATATCAACAACAGTTCCAAGTTGTCCATTGGCATCTGTGAAAGCAAGTTCCTTCTTGGCATGTACATTTGGGTTCCACACAAGCGCAGTGATGGCCAACTTCCTGGGATGTTGCACCGACAGCACTGAGGTGCCGGTTGTGTAGTCAAACACATTAATGCAGCCATTGTTCGTAGCCATTGCTACTAGACTTCCACACTTGGACACCGTCACAATAGACACAACCTGCAAGAAAACAAGAAATAATACTTCTGAGTATTGTAGATCACAGCCGCAAAACCACGCGTTTTTGAACTGCAGTGATGCCTTTCGATTCGAGAAAGTTTTGTTTTTGGTTGTTCAAAATAAGAAAACTCGAATTAACAAGGAATTTTTGTAGAAAGCATAATGAGAAATTATTTCAACAGAATTGGTAAACAATATAAATCAGAACAAAATAAAAAGTGCTTACAGAGAAGGACCATGCATGACAGAAAAATGGCAAGAAAATAATGTCCACTGAAGGCCACATTTGCAGGAATAAATAAAGTTTATCCTCAGAATGTTATTAAATTGGGTGTCAATTAGTTTTTAAATTAACAGGTAGCACTGTGAATAGTTAACGCATTTAATATTCATATTAGATGGCAGAATTTGCTTGTTTATACACGTGTGATTAATAACCAGAAAATTCATTGATTTAAATTATCAGAGTCGAACAATTCTTCAAATGGCGATGGTTTCAAAGATGCTTCAAATGCAAAAAATATTCATTTTCAAGTTACAAGAAGCATTAAATATTGAAATTTTGGTGGAAATAAGTACATAATACACGTAAATAGCAAACAACAGTAAAATTTTGAACCAGAAAAATCACTCTGAAACTCTCTCAAAGTTCAGACAAATCCAGTAGTTCTGAGATAGAGCCCGAGCGCAATCCGTAGAGATAAGGGGTTCAGCCATCATCGGTCGGACGATGTTGGGCCACTGCTTGATGGCGATGCTGGTGGGTTCTCCAGCACAATGCGAGTGATGGTCTGGTTGTCTCATGTGGTTCACTTGCCCTCCAGTTTCAAGGTAGCTAATGAGACCGCGGCACTATGTCCTGGTTGTTAGTTCTACGTAGTCCAAATCATGAAGAAGTCTAAAACCTTCTTTGAAGCAAAATTTAAAGACTACATCGGGGTCTCAGATAACTCCCGCGTTTTTGCAGGGGCCATTGTTGCCTTTAGTTCGGATTTTGACGTTGTCAAGGGTATCACGAAGCCTGTCAAATTCATCAACAATCTTGAGGTGACGTTGCTTGTTTGTAATGCTTTGAGACCTGGTCTGGTTGTGAGCTTGTCTCAGGTGGCAAGAGAAACTGCTGTTTAATGTCGTAGTTGTTACTGCAATAACTCGAATGTAATCCATATAATGAAGTCTACAACCTTCTTTGAAGCAAAATTCAAAGTTTCTTGTAACTTGAAAATCAATATTTGTTGCATTCAAAACATTCTCACTTCTCAATAAAGTTAAAATAGTTCCTGAAACATGCCTGTCGATGTACCAACGTCTTCTGAAGAATTGCTTGACTCTCTAATAATTTAAATCAATGAATTTTCTGATCTTTAATTGCATGTGTATAAGCATTTAATACTAATGTAGAATATGGAGTAAACGTCAAACTGAAACCTTGACAAGTCAAAGTATATTCACACGGAATGAAACCATAAGGTTTGAAGGATTTTAAAATTTTCTAAGATCACAACATAAAGTTCAACAAGTTTTCTCTAAAATTTCATATGAACTGAAACTAATAAAAATTATTCACCATTGTCAAATAAAATTTAAAAAAATTTTCAACCTAAATAATTCAACTAAGTAGAAGACGAGTGTTATAATATGACCATCTTGAACAGTTCATTTAGTGGATGAATGCAAGCCAATAAGATGTATAAGGGAAAAATTCATTGCAATATTACTCACATTCTTTGGGTCATCCAACTTGAAATGCCTCTCAAGCTGCCATGAATTGCGAGAGAACACATTGACCTGCAAGCAAAAATAACACATGGAATTTCTTTCATGAAAATTTGAATACAAGGCATCCATTCTTTCTATTGAAATACTACTGGTCTTTTTTATTATATTTAGTTTCATACTAAGTGGCGCTGAAATATTCCCCATTCTTATAAGTTGACTTCAATTAATGGGGAAAAAGAATACAATGCTTAAGCTTGGAAGACTACAATCCCTTTTTCCGAGCACAAATCACCAGTTATTTGCCTTTTACAGCAGTCAAATTTTACTATGGCACAAGCAAGGATATAATTAGCAAATATTTAGAATCTATTGTATTTAACTAGGGAACTCCACTCAAGTACCACCCAATTTAAATTAATAGAATAATTTTTACTTCTGAGAGTGAATAGATCTAGGCATCATGATTTACCTTTTCCGCAACGGGGATTAAAAGATGGCCTCCAGAAGGTGTAAAAGTAGCTCGGCAAAGTGTAATAGATGCAGGAAATCTGTTGCTTGTGGGATGCAGTCCAGGAAAAGTTTTAACGCAAGTTTCTGATGCTAAAAACCAGACTTTGACTGAACCATCACAGGAGGAAGAAACCACATACTCTCCTGAAAAATGACAAAATTGTTGACAATCTTGCAGGTGAACACACACGTCTATCTCTATATATTCTAAAATATTTTAAAAATTACATGAACATGAGAGTTTAAACACCATATTTGCATGAAAAATTGCAGTATTGACTTACTAAGACCCTGTATTTATAACGTTTGTCTTGAATTATGCCTGTTTACCTTTTGGATCAAGAGCCACTGACAGGATTGCAGAGGAATGGCCTTCTAGCACAGTATCAGTGTTTTCAGAAATACTGTGCACACGCACCACCATATCACTGCAACAACATTGGTGGTTGAAAAAGGTTATGGAAGTCATAAAATCTGCTTCAAATGCCCAGGATCAGACATGATGTACACATAACAACTACGTATATAGCGATTACAGCATTGAATAGAACAGCGTAAGATATCAGAGTAAATCGATTTTATTTGTAAGTTTATATTTGTTACAGATGGCAGTGACTTTAAAGTCAGCAGAGGGATGAATTTTGAAACAAAATTAGGCAGGCCACAGCATCTTAATCATCCTTACTAGCCCAAAATTTAAATAATACCATAATTACCCAATTGAATTAAGTTTCAGAGGATCCAAATAAATTTCAAGCAGTATAAATGAGTAGGCTTTACCTGCCACCAGCAGCGATTAAATTTTCAGAGATATCCAGGCACGTTGGATGAGCAGTGAACCGAGTGATAACACGTCCTGGTGCTCCATCTTCAGCATCAAAATATTGCACACAGTTGTAGTCACATCCAACCACAATGTTGGGGAACTGGCCAAAAAATGAGTAATAATGATAAATAAGCTAAGCTTATAGACACTTAGAAGTAGTTTAGTTTATATCTTTCTGATATTTCATTTTAAAAAATGCATTAAGACAGCACTGACCTGGTAAGCAACAGCATGAGCCTGCTCTCCAATAGCATGAGTGACACAGTCATCATCATCAATGCCCTGGAATATTCTAACTTCCCCATCTTGGCCACAAGTTATCAAGGACCTGTAAAACCCAATATAATTTAGAAGTCATGTTTAATGCTTCTTAGTTCAGTAATATGCGTTTAAAAATTACTTGTTAAAGACAACACTTCTAAAGAATCCAGTCTCTGATGTTACACATGTACTATGAATTTCTAATTTTATTTTCATATATTAAAAAAAGTAGGTAATTTTTGAATATCTGTATAGATGCAAAAATAAAAATTTTCAAAATTATTTATTCTGTCAACTGCTTCATGCATTGTCTCCGACTTAGCGCAAGTGTGCAAAACTTCAGACTGATTGGACTGGTAGAAGTGTTTTATATATTGATTATAAGATTTGTAGCAGACAAACAAACAACAAGAAGTGAAGTTAAAGAGAAGTGTTGCTAAATTGGGCACTATCCTAATATCTTAGGCAATATTAATTCTGATAGATATACCTTCAGAAAAATCTGCTGATGACAATACCAAGTAGTTTCATATTCTAAACATATGAAGATAATGAAATAATTTAAAGAAATTTCATGGTTATCTTAATAGATGATTGCAATGCTGACTAAGAAGGCTGCTCACCCTGGACCATTGACTTTTGAAGGCAAGCATAGATTAAAAAAAAAATTATAACACAGTGGATTACAACTATGAACAATAGTGAATCATGATTGGCAATACGTTGTTTAGTGAAAACCTAACTTCAATAATTGAACTTTAAAGCATGATTATCAGCCTAAGGCTTTTCTGCAGCACCTCTGGCACTTGAGTTGCCACCATAGTACTATATTTACCCCCACCAACAAAAATGATTTAATGATAGTTAATTGCATTTTTTATTGCACCTGAGTAGTGTGAAAAATTTAACAAATTTTAAATCTACTATTGATAATTGAAGTAGTATAAAATCATCTCAAATGAGATTCTTTTATCTGGATGGAAAGCAGTGTAACACGTGTCATTGAAGGTAGGTTTAAACAAATCTAATAAAGATTCATATCAAAACTAATTGATTAAAATTCTACAATCAAATTTTCTTTGGAGTGTATTCAATTAAAACAAAAATTCATTTAATATAATGTTAACCTTTTCCCTGGAATTCCCCCAAAAAATGGAAATTTGTTTACCTATCAGCATAAACTCATTAACAAACTCAACCAGAAAACTTGCAAACATTTCCATATGAATCAACATACTTGCCATCAGCAGAGAAGCAAACATCTGTGTGGCCCTCACAATGAGCATACCGTGTGGGCCGAAGCTCACCTCCCATATCTCTGTAAGCCTGAAAATACAAATGAATTTGGTAATTTGTGTAATTCATATTTAAAATAAATTTAAGCATAAAGATGAGTAAATATTACTTTGATATCCCTAGACTGACTGGATCTGATTTGAATACCTGTCATCTGGAAAACAGCTAATTTTGTCCCATTGAGTAATTGTTACTTGTACAGAGTCTAGCATGGAAAACATTTACATTCAGGGTCCCAACTAGAGCTTTCCTGCCATTTTCAGAACAACATTTCTGCTAGATAAATTCCTTCTCATCTAGTTGTTAACAGAAATGCACAATTATGCCATAAGATTCATAAATGCATTAAAAATTTGTTAAGTTGGAGCTGCAAGATTTTAGAAATAAGTAAGTAAATTCCAATACTGTACAGAGTTTGATCACTAAATCGTGAGTCTTTTACTAAATTAGTAGAGAACTAGAAAAAGAAGTGCCACATAATTTGGCTGGATGGAAAATTTACCTGCCTTCACAAGATATTATGTTTTGTTATCAAAATTGACCATTGAACTTTCTAGCATGATTATAAAAAGCTTCTAAGGTTTAATTATGCGGCAATCAAAGTATCAAACCTGCAAACTGTAATTCAGAGAGACCATCCTTTATGGTTTTTATTGACAACTGGCAAGTTGAGTGCAGAAGCTGCAAACTGCTGTGGCTGCAGTGTGATGCCTGATAGGTGATGGCACAGCATGTCAGCAAGTTTATCAATGTTAACAGCATTGAAATCCATGCAGAAACATAAATTTTTCATATTTTTAGACTGAATTAGGCACCTAAGGACTTGAAACCACATTTTGTTAAGGCCTTTTACTTTCAAATTACTCAACCGAGCTGCTGGCGCAGATTGCTGCCAACACTGCACACACATTCTTGACTAAGGTGATCAATTTTAATAAATGATTTATATATTGTGTAGACTCCTGCGTCTCGAAATAATTTTCTTGAAACGAACCGGGACAGACGAAACGAGACGAGAAAATTCCGGGAAAAAATAACGGGACAGAGGGTAAAATTTGTCCCGGAATAAACGCATGAACCGAGACAAGACTTCTGTTCCGGACTTTAAAACTTGTGTCCCGGTTATTTATGAACCGGGACGAGACAGACAGATTTGAAACGAGACATAACGATGCAAGACGTGATTTGTCTTAATTATTAAGGACAAATTAAGTTTTTCAATTACGATATGAATTGTTTCGACAACATGGGTTGAAGAATGACAAGTTAGCCATTTATTGCTAATAGGGCCATGGACAGTTACCAATTAAATTGAGTTAATTGCAGATTTAGCAAAATTTGTCTGACTAACTGACATGGCAGTTGGTTAGTGGTTCGACAAACACTGCAAACCTGTCGATGTATGGCTGAGTATTGAGTAAAAAATGTTACCCTTTAAGTCTTAACTAAGGCTTCCTTGGCACTTTATGGAAACCGTATGAGTACGAGTCGAATTCATTACGTGTTCGGAATGAGTTCAGGCACCACAGAGCGCATTGGGGCGCAGGGTCTAGATTAGTCAGCCAATTAGTAGACAGTGGAGTGGAGTCCTGGTAAGATATTCCTAAAAATACTAAAGCTAATTTTAGATTATCTCTGCCTTTACAAAAATTTTATGCTAAAAATCCAGGAAATCTTCACAATTGCGCAGTTTCCTGAATTGTTATTAAACACTTGTTTAAGGGGGGTATCGCCTAAAATTTTGGATTTTGCCTTTTCCGGTTAGAAGTCTCATCTTAAAGCTGACATTCTGACCTATTCAATGGTACCATTACCATCGCTGAACGTTTGATTTATGCGTTCACGACATATCGATAAAGGGTTAGGGGTGGTGGAGTTCTTTAACATTTATGATAGGGGGAAATTAGCTGCTGAACTCTTAAATAGAGTGTCTGCTTGAGCTGCACTTCAGTTACCCGTCTGGCGTCATATGGGGTGGTGTGCATGCAGTCGTTCCCACCATCCTTGACTGGAATTGAGCTCCAGTAACGTTTAGTCTTGTATCCCTGCTACATTCAGTGACTTCCGATGAGTGTGGGACTTTGTCAGGCTTTACTGAAAAGTTAACTTATTGTCAAGGCAAACCTATCTCTTCCTACAGTTTTCAAGCTACAGCATTGAAAGATATACCATTCGATTTGTAAAGACTATACCTTTCGAGCAACGAAGCCCCTCTTTTATATTTGTGCATAGTTTGGATTGAAAATGGGGGGGAGGGGGGAAAATCAGAAGAAAATGAGAAGAAAATGGGAAAATGCGGGTAAAAAAGCTCAGACAAAAATAAAAAATCGGGCTGTGTTACTCGATTGGTATGGTCTTTACAAATTGAATGGTATTCTTTTGATGCTGTAGCTTGAAAACTGTAGGAGGAAATAGATTTTTAAAGTACCCACTTTTCCCGTTTTCTATTAATTTCATGTTTTCTTTGAATTCTTACGAAAAAAACATACTAACAAAATGTGCTTGTAATTCGGTTTTACATATATGTGGGAAGTTTCAGAAAGATCCGTTTGTAAATGTGGAAGTTTTTCTGGAGGGAATACCCCCCCCCTTAACATTATTTAGAAAGGACACACATGGATATTTCGAGCTCTGTTTTGAAGATCAAACTATTATATTTTTTCCAACTTAAATTTTGTTGTATTTTAAAATGTTTTTGATATTTCTTTCCAGACTTTTTTTTTGAAGGAGAATGATCAAGACAAGATCGATGAATCTGATTCTGTGATTGAGCTGGAGGCAAATCAAAGTCTGTCCAGTCAACTGATGTCACCAGCTACAGGCTACAGCTAGTATGGCCTCCTCCAGACCATCATAGAACACAATTTTTGGAAAATAAATAACGTGCTTTTCCATTTTATTTGCCTGTCAAGATTAAGTACCATATTAAACCACGACATTTATTTGTAGCAAAAATCATTTCAATTACCAAGCTCAAATCAGAATAGTAAAAGGATAAGTCTCAAGTTATTACATAAATGTATGATGGTAAGCCAAAGTTTACACCACATCAATAATTGTTTCGTCTCCTTATTTCTCGTTGTCTCGTTAAAATGGCTATAAATTCCGGGAAATTTTAATATACCTATTTTAACCAGGATGTCTTGTCTTGTCTCGGTATCGTCCCAGAATTCTTACGGACAGTTGAAAATTGTCCCAGTTTTTATTGTGAACCGGGACAGAGCCTTCCATTCTGTCTCGTCTCGTCTCGGATACAAAAAAATACCAAACACAGGAGTCTAATATTGTGTTTAAAAGTATCTTGAGTTATTGATCGCTATTTTCATTTATTAAGGGGGGTCTACCCTAAAATTTTCGGATTTGGCAGTTTTTAGTCTCATCTCAAAGCTGACATTCTGCCCTGTCCAACGGTACCATTGCCATCTCTGTACGTTGATTTATAATTTCAGGACATTCCATGAAAGGGGGGCGGGTGGGAGAGTTCTTCAAGTAATTAGATAGGAACTAATTAGCTTCTGAGTTCTTTAAATATAGTGTCTACTTGAGTTGTGCTGCAGTTATGTGTTTAGTCTCATCTTAAAGCTGACATTCTGGCTTCTCTAACGGTACTACTACCATCTCTGTACGCTGATTTTTATGTACACAACACTTCATGAAAGGGGGGCACGGGGTTAGTTCTTTCAGTAATTACATAGGAACTAATTCGCTGCCACAGCACTACAAATGCAGTGTTTTTGTGAAGTCTGACTCAGTGTGCCTCCGGGCTTTGTAGGGAGAGGTGTGCATGTAGTTTCTCCCATCAACCTCGAGTGGAATCAAGCTCCAGAAATGTTTAGTTTGGTATCTATGCTACATTGAGCGCATTTTGTGGGCTCTGTTGCGCTCTCTTCAACATTCACACTTATTGTCATGGAAAACCTATCTCCTCTTAGAGTTTCAAAGCTACAGCAATGAGACGTATACCATTCGATTCGTAAAGACCATATATATACCTATCGAGTAACAAAGCCCTTTTTTTAGATTTGTGCATAGTTTGGATTCAAAATGGGGGGAGGGGGTAAAATTTGAAGAAAATTAGAAGGAAATTAGAAAAAAAACAGGAAAATGCATATAAAAAAACTAAGGCACAAATCAAAAACTGGGCTTCGTTACTCGATTGGTATGGTCTTTAAAAATCGAATGGTATATGAGATAATTCATCTGGCAGAAATCTCACAGTTCTGGAAATGACAGGAAAGCTCTAGTCTAGTCTAGTTTGTTGTAGCTTGAAAACGATTTCTACAGTACCCCCTTTTCTGTCGGTTTTCTATGAATTTCATGTTTTCTATTAATTTTTTGAAAAAATCATAGGAACAAAATGTGTTTTTTTTTTTTTGGTTTTACATACATGGTGTAAGTTTCAGAAAGATTCCTTAGTAAATGTAGAAGTTTTTCTGGAGGGTAGACCCCCCTCAAGTACATGTTAATGTCACAAATTCTTCATAAAAGTTGTATCCCCATATTTCCATGCTTTGTTACAAGTGAAATTCATCGCCTTAAATGATAATTTTCAAGTAAAACCTGAAAACTTGTAACATGAATTCTCCATTACCATTCTCTATTATAAGTCTTCAGTAAAAAGTTTCCTATAAACTAAAGCCATAAGAAAAAATATAATTCAGTATGCACTGCAGTGAATGACAGAGAGCGCCTATTTTCTTGTCAAACAAAAACGTGAAGTCTTAGATGGAGAGACATACAGACAGACATGATGAGCACAATAGTGCATTTTTTCCATAAATGAGAAAATGCACTAAAAAGAAAAATGCAAAAAGTAATATTCATTCTAGTAATAGTAGAATGAAATTAGTAATATAGAATGAATTTTATTTGTTTATATTCAATAATAGTAGATATTAATTATTCAATTTTATAAAATTTAATGAGGAGTGAAGCTCTGAAGCATATTTCAAGTCTACAATTGCACAGATTGCAGCACCAGCAGCAGCAAGTCAAGTCCCCTAACAGATTGCAGCACCAGCAGCAGCAAGCAAATAAACTACCTAGGTACCTACTTTATTGTCTAGTCTATTTTACTATTAAAATAATAATATCAAATTCTGTTCAGGCACAGTCTGTTAAAGCGTTTGAGCAATATATTTTCAATTAATAATTATTTATTTATTTGGTCAACAAAATTGGCCTACAAAATTGCTTCATCTTGTGATGTCACATGCAGGTATGGAAAATATCTACTTGCCTGTACTTGTTGAGCCATGACTGGATTTTTAGAATTGTGGTTTTGTTCATTTGCCAGCCATGACTCCATTTCTTTGAGCCGTGAATTCCATACCTTGACCATGAAGAGCCATTTACAAGCCGCAATTTTATTTACAAAGTCCTGTGCACATGTTACCGTACCCCAAATCTGATTTTACCCTAAAACCAGTCAAACAGCATTTGTCTTTACTCAAGTAGAAACTGAACATGTAATAATGCAGTTTGACCACTCTGAAGTGACCGCAACTATGCGATATTCAACAAAATGTTTTGGGTTGACTCATTATTATTGTGTACTGCGGGATATTTTGACAGTAGTGTTGATATACTGCGGATTGTGGAAGTTGTAAATTTTATGAAACATGTTTTGCAAAATGCAAACCACAATTTTTTCCAACAATCAAAAATACATGACGTTAGAGCTACAAGATTTCATACTTACTGAAATTATATGATATTAGAGCCACAATATTTCAGAAAAAAAGTAGTATTTTCCCAACTTTGTCACCTGTGATGTATCACGGCAGAGCACTGTATCTTAGCCCCCTATGGCTCCACCTTGGGTGGAAAGCTTTTTTAAAAGTGAACTTCCATTTCTAGAATTTTGCACTGCCTGACAGAGCACTGTATCAGTAATCAGTGTATCTGAGGAAAGCTTTTCACCCAGGGTGGACAGCTTTTTTATAAGTGAACTTCCATTCCTATAATTTCACACTGATCATGTGTGACATCACCACAAGCCCCACCTCAGTAGTCAGTAGTCCATGTTTGCTCTGAGACGCATTCTCTAAGCCACTATGCAGAGGGTGGATGCAGCGTCGGCAATATATGGATTTTTAAGCCCAAAGCGTCGCCGGCCATTTTAAAGATTGTAATCCATCCAACGTACCGGAAACCTTACTTTTTTTCTAAATAGTTGGCTGAAGACTGAGAAATATATTAAATGCAAGAATTTCAATCTAAATGTGTCGGCAAGATCTTCTGAAGGCGAAAATTTTGCCGATAATGCGTCGCCGTAGGTCTTTAAATCTTTGTTCACTCTCTGCACAGTGGTCTCTAAGTTCCAACATCCAACCTGCTTTCGCAAATCCTGATAGTGGTTATATTTTTTATTGTGATATTGTCATCATTCTTACATCAAAGTTCTAACATCTTGAGATTATGAGATACATGTTAGGAAAAATATAAGCAACTAGCCAGCATTTTAAAGTTTTAAAGATACTACAGTTTTAAAGATACTATGCATTTTTGTGGAGTTTATTTTGCTTTTAAGTTTTTAATGGACAAAGAAGTGAAGTGAGCTTGAAATTGTAACCAACATAAGTAAAATATGTTACTGCTTCATTCTTTGTTTTTTAACTCACTTTGTGAATTTTGATTGTATTGTATAATTGTATTTGCTTAGGAGTTAGGCATTAGTGAATCTGGTCACTGGGTGGTTGCCGCCTGGCTGGTGGGTGCTGTGCCAGACTGCCAGAGTGCCAGTATCACTGACTAAGCCTAGGACTAGGCCAAGGGAGGCTGGCCTGGGTCTGGACCGGATTCCGGCCGTTTCCGGGACCCCTTTGCAAAAACCAATAAAGACCTACAACTTGCTACAAGGCTACAATCCTACTATTCTAGTATTCCACTATGACCTCCCAGCCTTTGCACAACTTGATTTTTGTTGAAACTTTGTTTTGTCTTGCCACTTTAACTCCAATTTGAATTTCTGTCACTGGTCACAATCTCACAAAGACTGAAAGAGGTGGTTGTTATGTGACTAATGTGCAATTGAATTGTGCAGACTGTGAAAGAAGAAATAAAAGAATTAGACACAAGCGTGGAAAACGTCTACTTTAAGTTTAAGGTCTGCAACTAGAGCTTTCCTGCCATTTCCAGAACTGTGAGATTTCTGCCAGATGAATTATCTCCTACCTACCGGTATCTAATTGGTAACAAAAGTGCATGATCAGGCTGCAAGATTTAAATTGTACTAGGTATAAAAAATTTGTCATGTTGGAGCCACAAGATTTCAGAAACAAGTAGGAAAATTACAATCCTGATTAGGCACTGATTATTTTCAGAGGAATTTTGCCAAGCTGCATCTCATGATCTGAGCAAGTATTATCCCAGCCCCCAGGCAACATAAAATCACAGTTCTTTTTTTTTTAAGATAGCTATCACCCCCTCTCAGTCTCAAAGTTGTGATGAGGTTCCAACTTCCAAGGGAGTGAAAGCCTGAAAGGTTCTCCATATTTGAGCAAAACTCCCTCCTCTGGTTGATGAAGAGCATACAGTACAGAATGAAGTGACCAATCGTGTCTTTTATGTTGCAGGTTGAGGTAGGTCAAATGCTAGTTAGGTGTGCTACAATTAGCCAAAGTGGAACGGGCCAAGTGGGCTTTCACACGGTCACACCAGCATGGCCAAGCCGCAGACGAGCCACAGGCCACAGCACATTCAATTGAGCGTGGTAGTGAACCAAATTCCACGTAATTTAACGTTGCTCTCAAACCCAGCTTCAGGCAGCTTCAAGGTTCCCCTGCACGACACCTCCTCTGACCTCTTCTTCTTCTTTCGATGATTTTTGGAGCTCTGGAAGCTCATCCATGTTGCACCATGGCAGAGGGGTAGTAGGGTGAGGCAGAATGGCTGATGAGAATCCCAGTGTTTGCCAAGGTCCAGCCCCCCCTCAGCAAAGTACACAAGTACACAGATTTTAAATGAGTTTAATTATATGCGAAGAGTGAAGGAATGAGGCCAAAGCTTCAACAATTCTCAGCTGCACTGGCAGTGGGAAGGTGCCTCCCCCCAGGAGATTTTTCAAGTTAGGAGCTACGTTGAGTTGTGCTAGTACGTCAAATAGGTTAGCACGAGCAACAGCATGATTAGCACATTCCAACAGGAGATGGTCTATTGTTTCTATCATTCCACAGGAGCAGAGTGGGTCAGGAGCCAGGCCAAAACGAGCAAGGTGCGATCGGACTCCAGCGTGACCCGTTACGAAGTAAGACCCTGTATAGCTTCAACAGAACTTGGCGATCAGCACCCCAGTGTCTGTGGGATATAGATTTCAGCAGGTTAAGAATTGGTAGGCATGATATTCTCAGCATTTCAATGTGAGGTTTCCACCTGAGGCAAGGTGCATCCAGCACAACCCCAAGGTATCTATGTTGCTGAACAATTTCCAGGTTGTGTCCGCTGGCTTTGATGGGAAGTGGGTGGATTTTCTTACTGGTGAAGCACATAGTTTTAGTTTTTTCCAAGTTTAACTTTAGACCCCAACTGTGCGTCCATTCAACAAATGAGTTCACTTGGGCTTGTAGTAAATTAGTTGCTGTTTGAATATTTTTATGGCTCACATAGAATGTAATATCATCAGCATACTCTGCGGTTGAGACGCCAGGGGTAGAGGGCATGTCACTCATCATAACGTTGAACAAGGTAGGGGACAGTATTGCGCCCTGAGGCACTCCAGATTTGATAGGTTCGGTAGATGAGTATTTCCCTTCAAAAAAGACTTTGAAGGTCCTGTCAGTCACTGAGGTATGCCTGAAACCATCTCAGGAGTGAGCCCCGTATTCCACAACGACTTAGTTTATACAGGAGGCCTGTGTGCCACACCTTATCAAAGGCTCTACTGAGGTCAACAAAGCAGACCAACAATACGGACTTTGTGTGCAAGGCACTATGGATGGCAGCTTCCAGTCTGGCCACCTGATCAACTGCTGACATGCGGCAACGAAATCCTCCTTGGGAAGGGCGCAGGGCCTGCTTCTGCTCGAGGAAGTATGTGAGGCGTTTATTTATCATTGCTTCCATCAGCTTTCCAACACACGACAGTAAGGAGATGGGTCTGTAGGAAGAAGTTCTTGTCAGAAGTTTACCAGGTTTAGGTATGGGGATGATCACGGCCTCCTTCCAAGCTCCAGGAACAGTGCAGGTTCTCAGACTCTGATTAAATATCTCCAGTAGCCAGGTGCGGAACTCTAGAGGGAGGTGAACAAGGTGTTGATTGTGCACCCGATCAGAGCCAGGAGACTCCTCTGACCTCAGAAACGAAACGGCAACGGACTGTTATGGGCAATCAAAATCCCGCCTTCGTGTTCACGGATCAACTGAAGAAAGACAAGCGACAAGCTTGTCAGCTTCAGAGACTGACGTACGATAAAAATACAGACAGACGTACATCTAGTGCTAATTAACAGTAGTCAAAGAAGAACGATATTATTTGACAAATTGCCTACCATGAGCATTACGTGAATTTAAAGACGCAGTACTCCGTGTCCGTGAAAATATATTAGACGTCATTAGGATGGAGAAGAGTAGACATAAATGACGAACAATTCACTCGAACAAAAGACTATGGTGGAGCTGATGATGATCTGCATTTACTACCATTCATTGTAGAGCTGATAATGATCTGCATTAATTCAGCTCCATCATAGTTTTTTTAATTTTGAAACTTATTTCCTGGTGTGTGTGTGAAAGCCAGTGAAATTGGATTTCAATGAACGTAGGTTTGTCCGTGGTTATATAATATAATAGCGGTTTCGGCGTTTATTAGGCCGTAGGCTTGTCGCCGATTCTTAACATCACAGAACATTCACAGAATTTTGCGGTCTCGAACTCGCATCTCACTGCTACAATTCTGCTGTGCTTAACCGCCCGGCCTCCTTGCCGATTCTGACCAGAAACTGGCCCACAGAGCTGGGATCGAACCCGCCCTATCTGCGCCAATCTTGGTACTCCGAACTTTACCCACTGGGTTAAATCCATCAGTCATGGTTTGTATACTAATACAAACTAATATATTAGAGTGAATATGTAATATGTATATATTCACTGAGTTGAATCCTAACAGTTGCATTTAACCCCGATATGTTCTATGAGTAACGAACATCTAACTTACGATACGGGAAGACATGAGAGCGATGTTAGAATCGCGTTTAAAAAGACGATAGTGATATTCGATGTCATAGTTGGTTGTAATTTGTAAACGCTATGACTTTAAAGCGCGCCAGAATCGGTAAAGTTGTTAGCGGCTCGTGTGCGCTCGCACCTAGAGTTCGCAAGCGCTATTTGGGCACCAAAACTTGAAAAGAATAAAAAAATTTAGTCTACGGCGCTCAGAAGCATGCTAGAATAATAATTACAGCAAATTTATACGAAAAATGATTAGCGATTATACAGCTTCAAAGCTGTATAATCATAGTTTATAAAAGATTACATAGGAACTGTGTAAATATGAAACACGAACAAACAGAAGACGCTATTTTTTTAAACAGAAAAAATTAAGTTGCAAACCAACCAAGAGACAACTTTCTTATCGCTTCGCGTCACTGACATGTAGTGCAGACTCCCTGCTAAGTCGTCGTGGCCTTGAGTATGAAAGCATTGACGAAATGACAAGACATATTCCAGCAGATGTTAATGTACAGTAATGTAATGTAATGTACATTAACTTAATGTATGTATATTAATGTACATTACATTAATGTAATGTACTTAATGTTAATTAATGTAATGTTAATTAATGTATTTAATGTACATTACATTAATTACATTAATGTAATTAAGTACATTACATTAATGTTAATTAATGTAATGTACTTAATGTACATTACATTAATGTATAATGTAATGTACATTAATGTAATGTAATGTATATTGTAATGGAGTGTAATGTAATGTTAGTACACTCCACGCCTGGTGAAACAGAAGTAGCATCAAAGTCAGTTCGACAAATCTTTTCGAAGTTTCTAGACCTACGGCAGCAGGAACATTTGCAGGCGTCGGTGACAGGCCACATCATGCCAACTATTTAGCGCCGACATCACTATGTTATATTAGGTGCGTTGTTTTAAGTTACTAGCATTGATCGTACATTAATCAATTGTATCAAATGTAAATCAAATTGGTTAGTGGATGTGGTTACGAAAGTGATATGTAGTTTAATGGCAGGACTGTGAAGCCTAGGAATGTTTCGATAGATCGATGGCGATTCGACTTTCATTGATGCCGACCGACGGCACCGCGAGGGCAGGGCAAAAAACATTACACTGCCTTACACATTACTTACAAATTGCGCCCCAGAAAATTTCTTCGTCTGAGATCCATGTAATTCACTTAAAATCGCTTTAGACATCAACAGCATACAAATAGCAACCAAAAATAGGCGATACTGATATACGGACAAGATCAACACTGATGTTGGCGGACTGATGCCCCCTATTTTATGAGGCATCAGTCGGCCAAAAATATTCTTGAGCGCCTTAAAAATCGAATAATCATACATGAAATCTCTATTTATTTACCAAAAAATACTGATAAATTTATTATAATGAGTCCTGAAGTTGTAATTAATGCTATAAACATGCAGTACTTCAGTGTTTGTTGTTGCCCTATGATAAAGATGTTGTTATCTGTTTGTGAAATTAAACGTTCGCTCACATAATGTACAAGTGTACATCTCCTGGGGGCCTTGGCTCCCCTATGCATAAAGCCTAGGACGCTGATAAACACTAGGGCCGTTCTTTAGCGTGAGACAGCAACGAAGGGTGCAGCGACTATGAGGCGTCAATAACATCATTAAAAAAACGATCCCCGTGCAAGAATTATATTGAGTGAACGATCACAGTTAACAGGTGCATCGATCTAAGCTGGGACTATGTTAGAGCCATAGCTTTAGGTCAGGACATAGAGGCATTCCGAAGTGCGGCCGTTACTAGGGACACCTACTCTGTCATAACACTCTACGACTACTGCAGCATGGATCATTCGTTGAGTTTCATCTGGTTAATTGGGTATTCTAAGTGATATGAAGGGATAACTGTTTGAACCTGGTATGCATTTGGACATCTCTCATCTTCTACTAAAAATTTTGTTCACTACAGGATTTTTTTTCCGTTTACCCAGTTCGATTTAAGGTAAAAAAATATATATACATATGTACAATAATATATTATTTCAGTGTTCACGTGACAGCAGTATCCACGGTTGAACTATATATACTAGTTATATATACTAGTTCAACCATGGCAGTATCTGTTGTATTTCATTCGGGCTGTACGACAACTTTGAGCATATTGTATCATGTAAGATCAAATCAAATGAGTTTTCTAAACAAAGTCAAAATCACAATAAAAAATCGCGAAGAAGTAGCTCTCACAAAAAATTATAAGTATTCGAATGAGTGTGAAGGTTGAGCTATATATGAATAGAGGTCGGATTTCTGCTAACCTTCAGCAGTTAGAACCAAAGTGCGAAAGTAAACAAGGTTACATGCCTGTCTGCTCTGCAGTGTGCAGGTGTGTGCTGTAGCTATAGAAAAGCAAGCTGTTTGCAATCTCAAAGGCACTGGAAATTGCTCTAAGTCGTGAAGAGTTTCGAAGCAGAACACTGGGCAGTGGTTATCATAACAGACTCGAGATCACCCTTGATCCTTGTATATTAGCCTATCATTATGAGTATCATAAACACGTTGACGTGTCGACGGTGTCGTCCAGCTGGGAGCGCTGCCGTAGCCCAAAAATTTGACTCTTAAATCAGCTCAAAAGCCAATGCCAACCCTCTACATGCAATAGAAATAGTCAGTCTAATACCTATGCAGCTGTTCTTACTTGCCTCATCTCGCCACACCAGCTTGAAACAAGCAATGCCTCATCCCACAAATTGATACTACAAACGGATTACGCCCAATAGCTCCTACACCAATGATTTAAGCCCATACCATCACTTCTTACAAATGCCGTAAGCCACAGGGTTCGCAGGCGTAAGCCCAGCCCTAACGCTCACCAGCATCTTCTACCTCCACACTTACCCCATTCTCTCCTATTCCGCGATACCGCAAAGGGGTTAGGTTAGGTTAGGTTAGGTTTGGTTAAACTTCTTCTGCAAGCTGGTACCGAAAGGAGGGGGAGCAGGGGGTAAGCGTGGAGGTTTAGCCTCCAGAAGAACGGACAGGCTGGAGAGGTAGCAGCTGTCTCTTATACACATCTAGATGTGTATAAGAGACAGACGCTCACTATACCGGCCACGCTCAGCAGACGCCGTATAGGCTCTACGCTCACTATACCGGCCACGCTCAGCAGACGCCGTATAGGCTCTACGCTCACTATACCGGCCACGCTCAGCGCGCCGGAAAATCCTGGACCGCAGCTATCAAAGAAACTTTTTTTCACGGCGTGTAGATGAAGAAAGCACCGATTAGAATGATTACAAAAGTTACGCTTGTAAATTAATCAAACTATTTAATAGGTTCTTATTCGCCTGGACAAGAGGCAGTATGCAGTTATGAAATCACTGAAGCGTTCATAATGATGTTGAAAAATTCGATAACAGAGCCTCTTCCGCGCATGATTGCTCCTGAAGGTACATGTGCCAGACCTTAATTAAAACTAAATCATGAAGAGCTACAAGGTTCACGTTAGTGTGGTGAGTCGTGCATAATGTAACGGGGCTGCATGCGCGTACTGCATCTGCCGGGGGCGACGTGGAGTAATGGCAGGCTTCCGCACGACGTGTGCGGGGGCAACGTCTCGTCCCTCCTGCCGGTAGCTCCTCGCAGCCAAAGACAATGCATTTCAGTTGCTAGCAACGATATTAGAAGCCAACACTCGCAGTCAAAGCCAAATTAGCCAATACAGTTCAGTTGCTAGCAACGATATTAGAAGCCAGCACTCGCAGCCAAAGACAATGCAGTTCAGTTGCTAACAACGATATTAGAAGCCAGCACTCGCAGCCAAAGACAATGCAGTTCAGTTGCTAGCAACCATACTAATAGCCAGCACTCACGGCAAAAAAAAAACAGCACTCGTAGCAAAAGCCAATGCAGTTCAGTTGCTATAGCAACGATATCAGAAGCCAGCACTCGCGACCAAAGCCAATGCAGTTCAGTTGCTATTAACTACATTAAAAGCCAGCACTCGCAGCCAAAGCTAATTAATGCAGCTCATCTGCTAGCAACTATAAGAAGCCAGCAAGCAGTGGTTTCAGCTGATACGTACTTGATGTGATACGCGGAAAAATATGACCTCTGTGTCGGATGAACTACCTTCATTAGACGAGATTCTGTTTAAGAAGTGAAACGATCTTAAAGGTATGATCGTTCTCACTTCAATGTGAGAACGTGAAAGAAGAATTAAAGACATTGCAAAATACGTAAGACCTTGTCTGGCAAGACCACAAGTTTACTGATCTTTTTCTTGAACGCGAGAGAAATCTAAATGGGGATTAATTCGAAGAAAAATACGCCGCATGGAGGCTTTGTATTTTCTACGTGAGGATGGCAATTGCTACACTGAAATGCCGCTACAAAGCCGACATTGATTACAAATATACTTAATTTACATCTTAATACATCATATTCATGATCGTAACATCGATCATTACCATCCTTTTAAGTATTTACAGCTCTACCTGAGCACGTTTCTTTAATTAACTAGTAAAATTGAACATCTCTGATTTCAAAGAAATCATGTTTGAATCATATTATGTGACGATAAAAATGAATTATTTGATGATAAAGTTAGGACGAAAAGAGTCCTCTGATGGAGATCAGCTCAGACGCGCGTATCTAGCGCTCAAACGAGAGCAAAGATCGAGTGAAACGACCCTGGGGAAACGAGACTTTTTCTATTAAAGGTCAACGTTTTTATTGAAATCAGAATACAAATTGAGCTGCATAGATCCAGCAATAAGCACGGTAAAAAATAAGATCGCATGCAAAAGTACAGGAAGTGCGGACAAACTTTGAGTAGTGGCAAAAACCGATGGGCGCGATGGCATGAACTTGAACTTGAATTGTTGAAATTAAAAAAAAAAAACACGAGCAAATTTCATAGTTTTGAATAAATATTGCTTCAAGAATATCCTTCGAGAAAAACAAAATGAAAATTCACCATTCATAACAGAAGATTTATTTTTCGTTGACAAGCCGACAAAAAAAAAAATTCTTCATGCATCGAAAAATTAATTTCTTTCAACCCAAATGACTTGACCGAGGCGGCGGCGTGGAAAGAAGAAGAAAGGACAAAGCAGAGGCTCGGAGTTATGGCTTGAGCAGTTCGGCGCCGGAAGAAGATCATTTGCTCAGGAGTGACTGAACTGCAGCGAGACCCACGGTCGTGAAGGAGCCGATGGTGAAGTGAATACTGGTGCATTAAACTCCATAAGAAATACAAGTTCTAATAGGCTGATCAACTAGCATGAGGGAGTATGGTTTGACGCTTCAGTAGTGAAGAACACTGTGCAATGAAAATAATATTAGAGCTGTCAGAAGAGGTACTGTCCTAACGATTCACATTCATACAGCAGTTGGAAATTGGTCTAACATTCTACTTCAAAGTATTTTGCTTAAATTTTCTCTACCAACGAACAGTGAATAAGTGCAATGATTTTTGCTGAGAGACTTAAATTTATAATTTTCAGCCAGTAATAGACGGCAGCACACTATATACCGTCTACGAGACTATACGGGAATAAATAACAATAAAATCACAGGCAGGATTTTGAATTTTCCTCGGCGACTTAATCGATTGTTTCATTGATTGTATTTTCGTTACTTCATTAGATGCGCTCAAAATGCAGGATTATTTTAAGTAGCTTATTGAAATTTCCTGTTGCTGGGAGAGATCGGTACAATTTGGGGGTATATATTCGTAGCGTGCATCAACACAATCACACAACAATTATAACAATGTTGATCAGGGAAACAGTTTGTGTTTTTAGGTAGTATAATATGAAGACGTTTGGACATATTCGCCATTTTTACGATAACATCTAACGAACAGCAGCATGTAATGACTCTTTAATTCTTAGTAAAATGTGAAAAAAATACAGACGCATTAGTACTTTCATGGTGCTTCATTATCAAAACGTCATTATTATTCGCTGGAGAAATCACGAAGAGACAACGGATATTGAGAAGCAGTCGTACGGAGGATGGATAAGACTCACTCGTTAGGTTTCAGCGTAGGTGAAGTTCTGAAATTAGCACTTAAAGATTAACCATTCCTTAGGAGTTGTAGTGCATTGATGTGCCTGCGAGACTTTGGTAATAACCATTGACCTGGAGTTTGAAAATACTGATATTCATATGATAACTATTATTATTATTATTATTATATATTTTCCGAAATATTTTATTCTTAGCGACACTGTACGCTTATAAATGATATTTTTATAGAACAATATGGTTACTTGACCACCAACCTGGACACGGCGTAGATTTCTTCGTGCATTCGTTTGTGGCGGCGGCCGGAGAGCGTGGCGAGCGGATCGTCCGTGATGGCGGCGGAGAGCACCTTCCTTTCATGGGTGAGATGACGAAGCTCTGATGTTGGCAGGTGATGAAGCTCTGATGCAGGCAGGTGATGAAGCTCTGATGCAGGCAGGGCCGTCATCAGAAAATGTTCAGATCCTACTAGCATCTGGGCCTCCACCGGATGCGACCAGAGTTTCTGGCTTACGTGCGATTCTTGTGGTACGTCTGCAGAGGTTGACGGCGGTGATGATGAAAAGCCTGCATGGCGTTTATCTTGCACCACTTCAGAGCTGAGAAAATTAGGAGCTGCCATAGCAGCCTGCATTTGAGCTTCGTTGGCGACTAGAATATCTGACACTGCGTAGTGATAATGCTTACCTTGCCTATGTTCATTAGGCAATGACAAATTTTTCGAATGAAGGTGATTTGTCCTAAGTGATCCAGGCTTTTCAGAGTCTCCGATTCCAGCTATATTGTTATTTAAAAGACGGTCATTGGGCTGTTGAGTGCGTCTGTAGTAGACACTTGGCAGCAAATGTTGCTGTATGATGGCCGTTGAGTTGTCTAAGCTCAAGTTGACTGTGGGAGGCAGTTCGCTGTTGTCCAAATAACCTGAGACGGAATGCACGAAGTATCTGTCGGTTGACTGCCCGGGCTCATCGGTGCCCGGGTTGCGAGTGACTAGCCATTTTAGCATCGCTGGCTACAACCAATAGAAGTGTAATCATTTGGTTCTTAAATCTAACTTCATAATTCGCTGAATTAATTTCGACTCGGAAGAGTATTGAGTGACGCGTGACTTTGCGATGGAGGATGGGTAACGGAGGTTTATGTAGTGCTTGTAGTGCAGGCCTCATGTGAAGCACGTCCAACTCTGAGGCTGATGCAGCGATTGACCTGAAATGTAGATGAAATAGAGTTTTAAAAATGTTCCGATTTGAAGGTATGTAATTGAGTAATATCCACATTTTTACGAAATCTTTCTAAAATTTCGTTGGCGCAAGTTGACAAAAAATGGAATGAAAGTCACTTTTTAGCGCATTTTCTCATTTATGGAAAATATGCACTATTGTACTCGCCAAGTCCGTCCGTCCGTCTGTCTGTCTGTCTGTCCGTCCGTCTGTCCGTGACCTCAAGTTTTCGTCGACGAGAAAATGCGCTCTCTGTTACTCACTGCAGTGAGTACTGAGTTATACTTTCTTATTAGATTTTATTAGATTGAATCACTCTAACGGCGCGAACAAAATCTATATTTCATGCTGCGTTAATTCCAGCAAATTTTCATTATAAAACAGCCACAGCATCTACATACGGCAGTGACACGTCACGGCCGCCTGCCTGCGTCGTCACGCCATGAATGCGCCAAGTGGTTACCTACAATACTGCATTCAAGGCCACAAAATAAACTCGCGATCGTGATTGGTCGAATCGTTCCGGCACTAACGCCACGTAACAAACAAGTACTGCGAGACTCCGCTAATGACACCAAATTAGCGTAAACTGATCATGTCCAAAACTAAATCAATTGCTCATTTTAGCTCGATTGAGAGCAAAATTATAGTCATAACACGGATTTAATATTCAATCATTCAATTAAAATACTCAAAAACTCTTTTACTAAAAAATTCTTGCCATAAAGGGTAAAAGTAATTGATGAATTTGGTTGTATAATGGAAATGCTTGTGGTAGTCGTGAGTTTCAACAGTTGTTTGCGAATTCCCCTCTTGCAGGAACTTGAGTAGTAGCTTAGATTGGTACAAATCTACGATACTATAATTAGCCCAGGCAAACTATCCAAAAGCACTGAGGATGAGAATTTCTCATTTTAAGATAACCCGCAGCAATAAAAGAAAAGAATTAATGAGATAAGATCACAAATACACATTCAAACTCGTATAACAGAATAAAGAAAGCATTTGCGATTGGTACTCACACTGCACGACATTTATTTTAAAGACCGAAGAGCTGACCAACTGGTCTCTGATCAGGCGAGATGAATATCCGGCCGCCCTGTCTCAAGGAGACAAGAGCCAACATCATATTCAACTTTGACCAACGGACAACTCAATTGTCAAACCCAAATGACTTGACCGAGGTAAAAATATAACTCGGTACTCACCGCAGTGAGTGACAGAGAGCGCATTTTCTCATCGACGCAAACGTGAAGTCACGGACAGACGGACGGACAGACAGATGGACATGGCGAGCACAATAGCGCCTTTTTTACATAAATGAGAAAATGCGCTAAAAAGCCAAAGCTAATATAGGTTAATAGGTAGTTTAACTATCTACTTTTGTAATGGCGCATAAACTCCCTTGAGACTCTATAGCATATGCATGAGCATATACTGTACATATGCACTTACCACTCGGCAAATAACTACGAACAATTAAATACTTTTGCATTAAAATAGATGATCAAAAACAGCCATGACAGGATAAAATCATGACGGCAATAATACGTACATGATGCGGTCATACGGCCCTCGTATAACGGCCATCCTGCGTCATGTCACGAGGAAGTTTGCATTAGGCCCACGTGGTCAGCCAACAAAACATCTAACAGTCTTCAATTAACCAACCGTGAAGTTTACATCCACAATCCGGTAGTGAATCATTCGACACTTGAAGACGATACCGTTGTTATATTCGACCTTGGGCAGCGTCCGAAGATATTATTCATTTGCCAAGAGATTCATTATTAAATCAGGGGTTAACACAAAATTGCTGTCAGATTCAGCAGAACCGTCGTACAAACTATGCAAAATTTGTGTGGTCATATAATTTTGATGATTTTGTTAAGTACTGCAGGGTTTGTCGTGCAGTACTTAAAGTTTGTTGTTGGTTTGAAGAAGTAATTAAGAAATTCTAATAAGCGTGGAACTTCGAGTAGCATCATCAGAAAAATGTGAAGGTAACCAATCAAGTCATCACTTGTCATCTTATCACTCAAATCAGGTCGCAGCTTTGTGATCACAGCCACACTATCTGCACTAATTGCCTGACACAGCAATTTTGTTTCAATAACATTCAAGAAGATTCAAGTAACGTTACTGGTTTTTGCTGTTGAAAGTAGCAATGCTGAGCAATGTCGTTTGTGATTGCACTTTTTGCTCACAATGCCATCAAGTTACGCCATATGTCTTTCTTTCAGTTCTTTATTTATTAAATCGGGAACAACATTTATTTTATACTATAGGCTTTATTGAAGCACAATAGTTATGTACTAGCTGTGTTGGATGTACAGGTGGGATGGGACTGTTGTAAGAAGTGTCCGCTACAGTGATTTTTCGGGAAAGAAGTATAAAAATACTGGAAACAATCTGTTTGATTCAATATTGCTGTCCCAAACTGAATTAATTTTCACAGACAATAGACAATAAATTTAGTCTTTCAACCAAAGCGAAGCGCCAAATTTTGTGCCGAAATTACGAATTTCGCGAAACATACCTTCTAGTTTTTTCATAGCATGGTCACCTCACAGCGATGTAAGATGAATTAATTTCTTCGTTACGCTAGCAATGTAGTTCTACTATAAAAAAAGAACACAAGGAGGATATATTAAGGCATTGTATTATATATTAATTGAACTGAACAATATATTATTTTAGGTAATTTTAAATAATTGCATGGGTGCTTACTAGTTTTCTTTATTACCGTATGTAATGTTGATTTTCTGTGCAATAATTATTTTCTTTATTATGTTTATGTAATCTTGAAAGAAAATCCAGTTTTTTAGGAATCTTTTATTCCACCTCCTTACAACAGTATCCATTAGTCTTTGAAACTGTATTTATAAGTTATTTTTGGCGTCGGTACTGTTTGACACTGTTGCAGTCCCGACGCCAAGTTCCTAATGTTAGCGATGTGTTGCTGCTGCATTACCGGCCAGCGAATCATTCAACGCGCCTTACAGCTGTACAGCAGCTCGCTGCAAGGCGTTGTCTTACCGCAGCGACAGCGTTAACTAACTCAACGCGCCTTACAGCTGTACATCGCAGCGACAGCTGTTACTCACTCAACGCGCCTTACAGCTGTACAGCAGCTCGCTGCAAGGCGTTGACTAGCCGCAGCGACAGCGTTAACTAACTCAACGCGCCTTACAGCTGCACAGCAGCTCTCTGCAAGGCGTTGTCTAAATGCTGCGACAGCTGTAACTCACTCAGCGCGCCTTACAGCTGTACAGCAATTGCTGCAAGGCGTTGTATTGCCGCAGTGACAGCTGTAACTCACTCAACGCGCCTTACAGCTGCACAGCAGCTCTCTGCAAGGCGTTGCCTTGCCGCAGCGACAGCGTTAACTAACTCAACGCGCCTTACAGCTGCACAGCAGCTCGCTGCAAGGCGTTGTCTTGCCGCGGCGACAGCTTCGCTAATATTGCGCCGCTGAAGTAAGTTTCTGCCGGAAGGGATCCAGTAAGTTCCCCCACAGGGGGAACAAGGCGGGGTGCCAACGACATGCACGAGCGATGACGGCACCCTTGACACCTCGACACGGCAGAAGGTAAGCAAACATTAACACGGGACAACGAGAAAGCGGCTCGATCTCGTGACAATTGCGCGGACCACTTCTCTTGACAGGACTTTAGAAACTCAAAACACCATCAAGCTTGGCCTTCAATTAAGCAGCAGTTTCTGGACTTAATCATGCTGCTCTGATTCTTTTCTTTGTGTGACGCAAGAAGAGATATTCGAGAATTTTCCTGTCCAGTGAAACAGTTCGTTAAGTTTACCTTGGTAATTATTAGCGAAAAAATATAATTAATTGAAATTGCATAATTTGTATATGAAGGTCTGTTACCAAGACTCACACTCCGTAGCCAAAGGTTAATAATTAGTATTTCATAAATTGTAGCAAATGAGACGATATTATAGGTGAAAATTATTCGTTTGAGTTACAAACATTTTTCAGTGCCATGGAACTACATGTATTATTGTGTGATTAACAATATTTGTAGTACGTTTCATTATTAACACACAGAAGTGCATCCAGCAAGTAATTACGGTTGCTTGAATAAAATTGAGCGATCATATGTCTTCTATTCAACACGTGCGTAAAAACGTTGCTAATGAAATAGATCAGCAAGAATTTCTAAAAAAAAAACAAAGGGATTAATTGAACGGACAAATTAGCGGCTAGTCACCATCCAAAGTGAGGCCATGAGCCGATATCATGAATTCTATTGAAACTCTTACACGAGAGTCAAAAACCGTCAAATTTTTCTAATTTATTTGTGGCGATCTCTATCTTCTGACACTTGATGCAGTCAATAGCATGGAACACTAAGAAATCATAAGCAACTTTGCACTTCGCGCAGAATTAATGTAGGGAAGTTGTACAGACTCTTTGAAACACAAAACGATTGTAAACTTCAATTCAAATCAAACATACAAAAAGGCTAAGAAGGTTGAACTGAGGTGTGCCGGTTCATTTATACAGAGGACCAAGTTTTTTATCTCAGCTTCATTTAGAGCAATTTTTTGCCATTCTTTAGCAACGGAGCGGAAAGATTTCCCTTGGTCTTTAGAATCTGAATTATTTCTTACGTTTTAGAGTCAACGAGGAATGGAAGCGAAGGACGCGCAGCGGCCAATGGGAGTGCGCATGACAGAGCGCGCGTTGTTGCGGAGCAAGGCGACCATTGTGCACCTCAAGTCAACTAGGCCAATATACAATGCACAATTTACTATACATCTCGCGTGAACTATGCAATATACAATAAACAATTTACTATACATCTCGCGTGAACTATGCAATATACAATACACAATTAACTATACATCTCGCGTGAACTGTGCAATATACAATAAACAATTCACTATACATCTCGCGTGAACTATGCAATATACAATAAACAATATACAATACATCTCGTGTGAACTATGCAATATACAATA